TGGAAGAAAGCATTTTCCATTCCCATTTTCAAGCAGGGCAAGAAGGAAAACCTGAGCAACTAAAGATTTGTCAGATTCATCTTAATCTGTGGGAAGGTGATGTAATAATTTCCCCTGTAGCTGCTTCTGAACATAAAGGCCAGGGAGTTGACTGTTATATCACTGAAACATAAGAAAATCTTTTTTACTATAAGGATGGTCCAACACTGGAATGGGATGCCCGGGGAGGTCATGGAATCTCCATCCTTAGAGATACTCAAAAGCCACTAGATGTGGCTCTGAGCACTTCAGAGCAGCAAGGCTGGAGCAGACATCTCTAGAGCTGCCTGGCAGCCTCAGCCAGTCTGTGATTATTGACTTTAACACAGCACATTGCAGGAAAAATACTAGATATGCACAGCAAAAGCTTGTTTTAATTTATGAATGTGCAATGCCAGCATCAAGGGGACCACCTGACAAATATTGTCACCATTATACTCTTACAAGAGTCACATAGTTCAGTGGGCTAATGCACACTTTGTTTCTGTGATCATACACATGTATACCTATATGCTGAACATGAGCTGAATGGCAGGCAAAGATCAGTTTGCTCTCCCCCCCATCTCCTTAAACCTGGTTTATCAGGGAAAATACACATTCTGAACCTTTTTAAAAAATATTTATTTTTTCTAAATCAAGTCCAATGCCTCAAAGGCATTGAGTTTTATCTCAGTGGTAGGAAAGTTCTTATCCTGACCTACAGTACTAGACCTATTCCTTCAGCTGTCCAGTGTCTTTCTTTATCTGTACAGATGTAAAGGCAGATCTGTTGCTGCCCTGAAATTACACAGAGACATACTTCTCATTCTCTCCAGACCTTTTTTCTTTTTGTTTTCTTCCATTTGTTCCTGTACTATGACCAGGGGAAGTCTAGGGGTTTGTTTATCTTCAGCTGTCTCCTCTGCAAGTTGTGCAGCTATTTCCTCAGCCTCTCTGTTTACCATAACCCTCAACCACAGGATTCAGTTGTTCTTTTTCTTAAAAGAAAAAAAGTCTACAAGTTACAATAAAAAAACCAGCATTACACCCACAATTATTTCTGTTCCTCTTCTTGCCTACCCTCTCCTCATATTTCCTACATTTTATTTTGGCTTTTTTCTTCTGTCATTCATAGTCTTCGTTCCTCTTTTAGTATGTTTTCTTCATCTCCAACAGATCGTTCTTTCTCATCTATAAAAGCATGCAATGCTTTTCTTTCTGCTGAGCATAAGGGAATTATAGGTGAAGTTGAAATTAAGGATTTCTGTTCATTTGTGGGTGTAATAGAAATTTTTAATATTTATTAATATCACGTTACTGGACTTCATCTCTAAATGACTCTCTAGGGCTTGTCAGAAACACATTCAGCACTATGAACAGGAATCTGAGAAGTCCAGATTTGGCTTTTGACTCAATCATCCCTGTCCTTCTCTCAGCAGAACTCAACTTCCTTTTAAAACATCCTTCACTAGTGTAGGAACTGTTTGATTTACTGTGAAAAATCCTCCAATTGGATCAAATCTGGTTTGCAAAATTAATGAAAGGCTGACCTGATTGTCTTGTGAAGGTAATTCAGAGAGACACGCTGGTGCTCCTGACCCTCCTGGAGTGGAATACAAGCAAGGACATTTCCTTTCAGCAACCGTGTTTACGGACGTTTCCTTATCAGCACTCTATACCCCCCGAACCTGACTGGCTTCTACAGCCAAGCCAAGCTAAAGGCTTCTTTTCCTCCGTACTAGTTTGCAGCATTTCATGTGAGCAGTTGGGTGTGCAAAGCCAGAGGATGCTGGGTTTATAACTGCTGTCACCGTGACCCCTGCTCTGTCAATATTATCACATTGACTCACTGTTTTCGTTCCAGTTTAAATAGCCCAGAGATGCAGTTAAAAAAGAAATGAATAATCAAAGCTTTTCCTCTAATTCTGTTTTACATCGCAAAAGTAGAAAATAAGGATCAAAGGATCACTCTCTGCTGCTGACGAAATAAAGCCTGAAAACAGGGTTGTTATTGTCGACTTTAGAGGCGCAGATTTCAAACCGCGAGATGCTTCACGGGTGCTGCTGTGCCTGCTAGTGCCTTCCTCCTCGTTTCGCTGCTGGTACACTAAACCTGCCCTGCCCTCCAGTGGCCCAGCATTGCTGCTCTGCAGAGATTCACCCGCTGATGCTTCAGGCTGAAGAGGGAAGCGCTGCAGGTGTGGCTGCACCATAGCCGTGAGTTTCACGGGTGGTGAGCTGAGTTCCAGCAATAAACACATACTGGCCATACGAGGCTTCCTCTGGCAAATGGTGGGGATGAAAGCATGCAGGGATCAGATCTCCCAAATTGCTTTTCTGCTCCTGCCTCTGGAGTCCACATCACCAGGGAGAATGGAGTACTAAAGATCCCAAATTTCTGTCTGGGTGGGGAGAGAGATGAAAATATAATTACCAGAATTTTTTTCCTTACTTTAAGCAAGCATTTGAATCTTCAGCCTTTCCATACAAGAGGTGGAAACCAGTAGCATTCCAAAGAGAAGTGCTAAGCAAAGAAAGGATGTTCTGTGTTTTTAGCTTTGACAAAACAGTTCCTTGGCTCCTCTGCAAAGACCCTGCTCCAGAGAAAAAGGGTTTTAATGCAGCAGTATCATCTTTCAAAGCAATCAGAATGACCAACAGACTGAAGGAAGTGTCAAAGCTAGCAAGCCTTTTTCTCAGTGGAGAAGCCTGAGGATTATGGCTAAACGAGATGGGATTCAAACATCTGAGAAACCAATTATTGTCCTGCTTTCCCATGAAAGGCTCAAGAAAGCTGTGTGGGCTGAAGAAGTCATCTCTAAACTACCTTTCCAACCTGGTGTGTGGCATCTGTTGTCTTAGCACAACAGTTATAGACCAGACAGAGTAACAACTTGAGAATGTAATGAGCAAGTGATAGCTCAGGGATGAGACTGTAGAATGAATTCAGAAGTCTTGTCAGAGTCTAGAGACTGAGGTACAACTGAGAGATCAGTCAGTCCTTCCAGTGCTCCAGTTCAGGGCTTGTGCTGACATAACTGTAATCCCATTGAATCCCAAAACTATATGCCTACTAAAAAATCCTATGCTACTATTTTTGGCTCTGCTGTCATTCTTAACTGGCATTTTGGAATAGAGTCCTGGGCAGTCCCAAAATTACATCCCTATGAAGATCCCACCATTATAGCTTTGCCTCTCTAAGTGGAAAAAGAACAAGGATGACAGAGTTTAAACTCAGAGTAGCAGTGCCTGAATGGCACAGTTGAAATTCTTTTGATGTCACACAGTTCCTCAAGGGCTATTACTTGGCACCTTTTGGCTTGAGGCAGGATTCAGGTACTAGGGCCAGCATGTGTCATGGCAAAACAAATATTCATAAATATAACAAATCTGACTGGCTCAATAGCTTGTTGCAGCCAAGAAAGTAAAAATACAGCAGATGATTTGGTATGAAGCCTAGTTCATAATATGCAGGTAATTTCTTTCATCTGCACAATAGTTAAGACTCACTGGAATTAAAAGGTAGGTATTCCTTAGCCAAAAATAGTATAGTTCTATAGGAAGAGTAGTCCATAATACAGAGCAGTAAGTACCAACACAGGGAACAGGAATTCTTTGCTAATTATACAGGAAGAAGCTTGATCACTTCTAATCTAATAAAAATGCATAGAAACCCTAAAAATATTGTATATTTTTCCATAGATAATACATGTTCATAATTTGGAGGTTACTCTTATCGAATTTCTGCTCTTCTTCCAATGTAGCAAAAGATTAATTAGAAAGAATGGATTCATTATTGACCTGCACTGTTGATGAGACAAAACATAAGAGAAGACAGGCATCCTTCATACAAGAAAGTTCCAGTTCTGAGAGGCAAAGATGGGCTGAGTGGAAGGCAGCTGCAGAGTAGAAATCTGTACCATAGTTACATAGCCTGCATAATTTTGTAGCCAATGGAGACAAACCAGCATTGCAAGAAAACTGCCAAAGAACAGCTCCAGACAGATTTGTCTAACCTGTGTGAAATCTTGATGCAGAGACAAAAAAGTTGCAGAAGCATCTCTTTCTCTGTTGATAGTAAAGGGAGACTGGACAACAAGCTGAGATACAGAGCATGACAGTACAAAAGCAGTGAATTCTATTTCTTTTTAATAGTCATTGTAATAGTGCTGACTGTTGGTTCTGCTGTTCTGCCACCCCAAAGATAAACCTGAGAAATGGGAACTGTTGCTAGACCTTCACAACCACACCCATGACTATCCTCCTTCATCTTACAAGGAAAACCCTCTTTTTCTGTTTAGGGACACAAGAACTACTGACCTAATAGGAATTTGTTTTTCATACAAGCTCATACATCACTGTATGCCTGTGAGTACAGCAGGAACTGCAAGTCTGCTTTTCACTGTCAAAAATAATACTAATTATCATATGTTTAATGTGAGTGTCCTAAAATACACAGCACTTTCTGTGCCTGTTTGGCCTGTGAGTTGCACAGTACAGGTTACATTGCTCTTACACATAGGATAGCCAACTTGCTATACACAGGTGATTTTGTGTTGGCCTCATTTCTCTCTGGTGTTTTTAGCTGGAGTAGAGTTGATTTTCTTCACAGTGGCTAGTGTTTTGGATTTGTGCTGGAAACAGAACTGATAATTCAAAGATATTTTCCTTATCAATGAGCAATGCTTACAGAACATCAAGGCCTTTTCTGTTTCTCAGGCCACCCCATCAGCAATAGGGCTGGGTGTGCACAAGGAGATGGGATGGGACACAGCAGGACAGATGACCTCAGCTGATCCCAGGGATATCCTAGACCATATGCTCATACTCAGCATGTAAAACTGGGGGAAGAAGTAGGGGGAAAATTCAGAGTGCTTTCCTGGGGATGCCTGAACACCTGCCTGACAATGGGGGTGGAAATCCTTGTGTTACTTTGCTTGTGTGCAACATTCTGAAAAAACAACAGCCTTTAAAAATGGAAATTAGATAAATTGAGAACTTTTTTTTAAATTAGGAATCCTACCCTACAAAAACCCAAAGTATTAGTTACATTGGGAAAAACCTCACATTTTCAGTTAAAAAGGTTTTTTTGACATTAATGCATTATGGTTTTGCTCTGGTGATCTCACTTCATAGGTCTTCAGGTGATAAGTGTGTGCCTCTCCATTAAAGCCAGAACACAAACTATTATTGTAGGTGAGTTCATGAGTATGGCTGGCATAGGTCTGGCTTGGGTACAACAAAGGAAATAGTTGAACCCACTAAAAAAAGCTTGGTGGTGCAGTTGGCAGGGACCAATAGGTAAAGTTCTTTAAAGACAGTGACACGGAGATGTGGCAGCAGCTCCAAAATAGCGAGTGTTCTCCTGAATTGTCATATTTCTGTACTGACCCCTTCCAGATAGGGAAAATTAAAAAAATAAAATTCAGCATCTGCTCTCAGAATTCTCTACATTGCCAAGCACAACAGAGATCTTCCTAACATATAGTATTAGAGAATTAGGATTCATCTCCTGGGACCCAACAGAGAAGGAGTTTAAAAAATGTTCTTAAACACCATTGTTCATTGCTTTTACTTTATTGGGTAGCTGATACCTTCTAAAGATAAACATTAAGAAATACCATCCCAAAACTTAAATATTTTTAAGAATGTAAAGAGCTGTTGCCACATTATAATTGTACTTTTTAAAATTATTACTCCATTTTCTAAAAACAATTCTCCAATTCTTACAGTAAAAGTTTTTTCAAAGATAAATTTCAATGACAATTTTATGTAGGAAGCCAAGTATAATGCTTATTGGTTATTGTTGTTTCATGTTGGTTCTTGAGAAGTTGATTGTGGATTGATTGCTGGGCCCAGAAGGGACTGCTGGTGGGGGCAGCAAGGTCATTTTCATTTGCTTTTATCTACAGGGAAGAAAAATACAATACGATATCATCTTTCAAAAGAAAATCTCTTCTTTGCAATTTGTCACTCAGAGGTAATAATGGAGAAGGAGTGCTAGGAGCTAGAAAGAATGATTATTGCTCCCTCACTCCACTGAAGCTTTAGCCTTTAGTCCTCTCTATTAGAAAAGCTTTTCCCTTAGGACAGAGAAAAACAAATAGGATACTGCATTCTGTTGATGCTACTGATGCCCTGGATGAGGTTCACTCTAAGGTAGCTTTAAGGGAATGGTACCATGAAATGTGGAAAAGCTTATTTTACCCTCCTACCATAGCAGGTTTGTTCCTGTCCCATATTAATTAGCACAAAGAACAGACTCATTTTATGTGAGGTGCAAACTGACCCTTTCTGTTCATCTACTGGGAAACCATTCCTCAAACTAGCTGATCTCCTTGTTGATACACATATGCACCCAAAACTTCAGCTTGGATTTTGGCATGCTTCCCGTCACTCACTGTTCCCCCATCCCATATTAATCAACTCTGCTGTAGCAGACAACATTTCAGCTGCAGTGGGCACACAGCAGCAGCATGGCTCCACTGTGCTTGCTGAAGGACTTGCCTAGGTTTACCTCTTTCTGAAGAATTTCCTCTGCTTGTTAAACAGAAAGTGAGGTGCTGTCACTAGTCCTTGTCCCCAGCTGCTTCACCCCACTCATATGCTGCACTGCACTGATCTGTGCTTGGTTCTTCCAAGAGACACTTCAACTCACCAAGGCAACAGAAAACTAACCCAGAAAACAAAGCTAATTGATTTCTGCCCAAAGTTTGCCAAAGCAAAGAAAAGTTTGCAAGCAGCAGGGCATGTACAAGGACTGTCAATAACCAAGTTAGACACTGTGAACACTGGAGAGGAGGGAAGGGGAGATGTGGGTGTTACTCCTGTTAGCAGTGATGTGCTCACACTACTTCAAACACTGCTGCCACTACCTGCAGCACATTTATTTGTGGAATCAGAGAATGGCATGGGTTGGAAGGCATGGGTTAAAGATCACCTGGTTCTAAACCCTCTGCCATGGGCAGGGATGCCTTCCATTAGACCAGGCTGCTCAGATCCCCATCCAGCTTGAACACTGGCCTTGAACACTTCTGGGGATGGGGCATCCACAAACAAATTCTCTGGGTAACCTGTTCCAGTTCCTTACCAACTTCACAGTGAAGAACTTCTTCCTAATTTCTAAATCTAAACTCTGTTTCAGTGTAAAGCCATTACTACCTCATCCTACTATTCCAGACCCTTGTAAAAAATCCCTCTCCAGCTCTCTTATTGGCTTCCTTTAGGTATTGAAAGGCTGCTCTGAGGTCTCCCTGGAGCTTTCTCTATTCATGAAGACAGCTTTTGTTTTTCCAAAACAAATCTATCAGCTTAACCCAGCACATTTGGGGGGGGGGGGGTGGTTATTGTCTGTAACACAGGGACACTAACCAGTTTAATTTTTCCCATCAAGCAGTTTTTGTTCATGATTTTGGTTTTTTTTCTGTGAATTTGAAGGTCAAACAGTGATGCTTCATTTTGTACTCCTGTTGCTAACTGAACTCAGGTTTTTTTATGGGCCCTCAAACCCATGTTTCAGTCTAGCAGCTAAAATTAATCAGTTTCTTTCAACTGAACTTTTAAAATAAAATTCCAATCAAAATGCGGTTCTCCATGCCTGGGCTGCCACATTTTTTGTCGAATTTACAGATAACAAGACAACTCAGCTTCTGAGAGGGCTTATTTCTGACAAGCCTGTCACCAGATAGACAGCCTGCTACCCTTTTTCTTTCTTGAAGTTTCAGAGAAGCATTAGGTAGTTTTTACTAAACAAAAGAGATGGTTACCTGCAACAGACAAAACTGGAGAAGGAGCTTGTTATTTTCTTGTGATGGATGTTCCCGAGACCGTGCCTGTGTATGGTGCCCTCTTGACAGGAACAGGTTGACATACCTGCAACAAAATGTTTTAAATCTTTCACTATTTTGTTTTCTCTTGAAATTGCTAATTGGACAAAATTGAAATAGAAGTCCTGTGGTAATCCATCTTTCTATGAAATGCATCCCAATACTTTCATCTAACTTCTCTCTGGAAAAGATCCCTTACACTGAGATTAAAATGTTCAGTTCTCAGCTTTCTTCAGGAGCTGGGTGGTTAAATCTGTTCAACACTGTAACAATTCAATTCTAAATCAATTTTTTAAAGAAACAATAACATGTTCCACCTCATTTTATAGATTCTGCTATTTTTTAGCGTATTCACATTTTCCAGTGATGTTTTTCATACATCATGTAAGAGAGGTAAATAAATATCAATGAAGCAAAGCAAATTCTGCCTTGTGTGGATATCTATCACTTGCTATTCCAGCTGCTGGATACAGGAGGCTGAGTTGGTTGAAAAATCACTTCTGAAGACATGCTGCAATTGATATTTGGGTTAAGGGAAAACTCTCTCTAGCTTTGATGGGAAGTGGAAACCACTATGTACATGGAAGTCTTTCAGAATTTAATTCTTTAATTTCTTATAAATTTCAGTTTAGCTTAGTTTTGTTATTGCTTTATGTGTATGAACATGCAGGCAGCTCACTACATCCTGTGAAGTTGTGATCTTTGGAGGAAAGCATCATTCAGCCACTTTTACATGCCTTTCTCAGTCCATCAAGACAACAGCAGAAAGAAATATACATAATTACCTTGGGGGCATTTTGCTGGGCCTTATTTCACATGGATACTAGTCTGATTCAGGTTTTAGATCCTGCAGTGAATCCCACTGATTCAGGTGGTGATTTCTAAATGTACTTAGTATGCTTTTGAAAATCCAATTCAGAGTACACTAAGGATGCAAAAGCATTATGAATGCTTGCACAGTAAATAGGCACTGAAAATCCAATCTTTATGTATTTGAAATATTTCCCTTTGAAAAATAGAATAGAACAAAAGCTTGAACAGAGCTGTCTTGCTTGGCCCAGCAGTGCCCTTTGCACATGTTCAGTTTTTAACATATTCTTGCTGGAACACAGCAAAATGTTCAACACTTTGCAGCTCAAAATATCTGATCCATGAAAGAATTACTTTCTTTTATTATTATTATTTCTTCAGTAGTGCAATATTTTGTCCTGCGTATGAAATTTCGGTTCTGATTTTCAGTGAAATCAGTGATAAAATGTAGTAGAAAGATTACTCAGAAGCAAAACTTTGTCCACTTTTATTGAAGTAGGACATTTATTTTTAAAAGTACTGAGGCTTAGTTCATAAGCTGTACAGATTACTTTAAGAGCAGGAACTAGTCTATGATATTTTTCTGTAAGATAAAGAGCAATAAAATTTAAGTCCTTCGTTTCCTTTCCTCCCACCTTGGCATATTTTGATTAGTATGGAAAATTACCATTGAATCCCCAAACTTCTCTTCCCAAGAGCTAGTTATCCTCATGTTGTACAAGGCATTACAGAGATTTATTAGTTTAATTAACCTGTTCCCGCTGCCTGACTCGTTTGTAGACATATGGAGGGAATGGTGGACGGGAGACATATTTTCCATCTCCTGCTGTGACATTGAAAACTCCACCTTCATAAACCACTTTGCCTCTTGAAACTGTCACAACTGGAACCCCATGGCAGACCATTCCTTCAAATATATTGAAGTTATTTGCCTGGTGATGTGTCTTTGCAGATATTTTCCTGTGCTTGCAAAACAACACACAAAATTACTATGATTCTTGTATTTGACTTCATTAAAAAATTTGATAAATTGATATAGGAAGAAAATGTAGCAACATTATTTAACTATGACACTGTACAGTACATCATTGAGCAGCTGTAAAAATAGGATAGCACAATAACATTTCATTGAACAGTAATTGCATTTCAAAAGAATGAAGAGGGAGTCAAAAGGACAGAACTCAGCAGCCTTTAAATGCAAAATTTTCCACTACAAAAGAGATTAGTGGAAAAAAGATCAGGTTGTAATATTTTCTTTGGATAACATGATTTCATTTTGCCTTGTCAAGCAAATATCTATGTACAATTCAATCAAAAGAAGCTCTGACCTTTTAGCTGGAATGACTTGCAATTTCAAGTTTGAAAAGCATGGCTGCAATGTTTCAAAGACTGAATCTCACACATAACACAAAGACCATTTCATTGGAAAGTCAGTAGATGGGAATGATTTTTGGTAATGCTGAGTGTGAGCTCGATTGATTCAATGACTGACAGCCCAAATATCTTAAAACAGCTAAATAATAATGACATCACACTTCTAAATACCTTTCTTCCAAGGGTATTAAGTAAATTATAATTTCAGACTTCAACAGTACCCATTTGAATGATGGTATTATTGTTTTTTTGTATATATAGACCTTGTTCTATATGTTTCCATTTTTCTAGACAATTTTTCCAACCCTAACTGGCTACTTTAAAGGCAGAGCCAGTGCTAGAGCTGACATTACTATCTGGAAGTCCAGGCTGTGTATACCTCCTTTATTGTCTATTTTCCCTACTAAGCTGCTTACTATATACTGTAACTACAGACTTTGAATTTCAGTTAATTATTTTATTAACTTTCTGTATCAAAACTACAGATTATATATGTATTATTTAGAGAGTTTATATTTTTATTGCCATTTATCGTTTCTGAAAAGAAAGAAGCTTGATGCTTTTGGCTACCAGCTGGGCTTTTTCCAGGGTGGGTGTTCACACAATCAAAAATTTACCATGTATATATTATAATGCATTTACATGCATTCATATTATTCCAGAGACTACATCTTTTTGCAAAGGCATGATCAAATTCAAAAGCAATGTGAAATATTAATAGATTAAACTCTTGATCAATTTGGAGAAGATTTTTTTTAAACTTTAGTCAATATTCTTATCAAAATGAGAAAACCAATAAAATATGTATCTTACTTGAAGTATAGCCATTTAAAAAAAAATCATATTAAATATTCAGAATGATTACTTATAAAGAGAAAAAAAAATCATGGAAGGGTACTTAGTTTCCTTTCATATCATTCTGTTGAACTTAGAGTAATTGGTTCTGCTAAGGGCTACTTTAAATCCTGGTGGTAGCTGACATTTCCAAGGTTTTATATTTACATATAAATGTAAATACTGTCTATGACCAGTCTACCCATAGGAATAAAAATTTTGCCTTATACAATATGCCTTGGACAGAAAACTTATGCATGCCTGATCACCAATATCAGCAGCACCTTGTAGGTTCACGTCGGGAAAAATCAAACCTCTCTTGTCTTCACTGGTCCAATTGAATGCTGTCAAACAAATTTATCCATGGTTGCTGTAATGGCCCTATAAGGAGTTTGTGAACATGTTCCTCTGGCTTATTGCATTGCCCTTGTGGGTCCAATTGCTCGAACAGTAAGTAAGAACAACTGTAATATAATAATCTTTAGCATTCTCTGTGTATATATCCTATCTATTTACACAATAGCACCAGGACATGAAAAGAAAAATGGAAGATGTAATTTGAGGAAACAGAAAAATAAGTAAGATCCTTCATCAACATGTGAGCTGTTTAAATTTGCTAGAACATGATCACTAGAGGTAATCATGCCTCAGAGGTAAGTCTGTCCTTTATTTAAAGATACAAAATGAATGGAAGTCAGCACATTTAAAAGTAATATCCATTTGTACAGCAAAACCTTATAATAGGACAAAACACATTTCCAGAGCTTGCCTCAACAACAAACATCAACAGAATTAATTTATAACTCTTCTGTTGAAACAAGCTGTAGATCACGCTGCCCTTTCTGAAGGTGAAGTTCATTTTCCCTGACAGAAATAAAAATTTGTCTGTGATTTAACCCTTTGACATTATCAATGTCAGTAAAAGTTTCAGGTGGCAAGCAAGCAAATAAAACTAGATGGTATGTTTGCATCTGAATCTCACAATTCAGCAACCTTATGCAACAGACTGTTTACAGCTATATCACCAATTTCAGTAGCAGGCAGCTTAGCAAAGTTCTGATGTTTGCTCTCAGCTAATAGCAAAAACAGTTGTAACCTACTAATAATCCAAGAAAAAGACTGCCACCATAGTAGAGTCTGTCTATGCTGTCTCCATCATCCTAAGTGATGCCTGACATAAGGGGTTACTCATCATGAGAACAGATTCTGAGTCCAGGTTTCAAAATGTGTATTGTATTTTTAAAATAAAACTTGTAAAATTCTCTAATTCTGATTATAAATTGAAGTGGCTCTTGTTTCAAATCACCCTTTTTCAAAGGGAGACTGAGATCAGAACAATTACTTCAACGTTTAAAAGAACATTCTCCTCTACAAAGAGGATATTCTAAAAACATCAGGTCCTATATTGTTCTTACTTACATCAGTGTTTCCATGCAGTTGACTTCAGCTGCTTTTGATACACCTGGCTTGCAAAGTGATTTGAAGCTATTAATGTATAAATTGCCATTACTCTTGTACCAAAGAGGAAGACATGCTTCTGAAATTTTCTTTTTTCACCACCATACTTCCAACTGATTTAGATTCAGAGTAATTTGGTCTAAGAACAACTGACAGATTTGCTGTAACTGTGTGAATTCAGTGATTCAGTGACTAGTAGTACTGTATTTATTTATGCTCTATGAGAGAAAGGACTTTACAGCCACTCCTAAACTACTGTAACTAAATAAACTGTAGACTGCAGCTTGAAACTTGAAAAAGAGCAGCAGCTTAGAGTAATGCAGCAACACATAGGGTGAAATTCAAGACTATACAGGTAGTCAGCTGAATTTATAACCTAAAACTTTGTTAAGGAGTTAGAGGGATCAGTTTTCATCTCAACAAACATGTCTATGCTTCAGTCAGAGATTGAAACAGTGAACAGTCAGTTGGGCAGGAGGGGGACTTGGATGAAGGGAAACTATTAGACATTAGAGTGATCTTATACCTTTGGTAATGCATAGGACATGAAGCTACATCAGCTCTAGAACCAGAACTTTGACTACCATACGGATTGTCCTTATGGTAAAAAAATTGAAGAATTTTCAAGGTCACATAAACAAGCAAATGAACAATTTAATTACATTCAATGGAAATGGCTACATACCTCACCCAGATTTATTTAAAAATTTCAGATACAGGAATATGAAGGACTGCTGTAGACAACAGCCCTTAGGCAAGAATAGCTGTTCAACATCTCAGTCAAGAGAGGGAAGCTATTTTATAATCAATTTACCTAATTTAAAACATAGTAATAAAGTCTGTCATTGAAAACACCTGCTTTGTTGACAGCTGCCAAAGAAAACCAACTTATGGAGGAATGAGTATTTGAGCTGTAAGTAACTTCTCTCAATGCTTATAGTGCAGTATCTGAGATTTTCAGAGCTGGGGGTAGATGAGAAATTCCACTTTGCTGAAGACAGTATTAGCCTTTGCAAGTTACCTCTTCTCATCACTTTCAGATGCCTTTGAACTCTACATATTGTTAACCCGCTTTTCTAAAATCTAGAAAAAGTAAATCTTTCACCTGTGTTTTCTGAGTCACCACTCATTTATAATGATGATTAAGAGCTTTAATAAATAGAAAAGCAAAGAACAGGAAAAATAAAATAGAAGAAAAATAAGAAGGTCTTAAAATCTGTGTGTAAAAATGCTAGCTATAAGCCTATAATGTGGATTAAAAACCTCATGGCCTACTTTATATTAAGGAATTGCAATAACTGCATATGCAAATATATGCAGGCAACTATTTGTAAAGTTGTATTCCTAGCCTCTTAAAAATATCCTCAATAAACATTACTTTTGAGTAGTCATATGAATTGAGAAGATTTGTAGATAAAAACAGACGCAAGAAGAGGCAGGCAGTTATGTTTGGGAGCTTCAGATCAAAGTGGCTTATCTGAAATAATGGGATCTTTATTGCATGCAATCATATCTCCTAAATTCATGATTTTGAGAGGCATAGAGAATGACAACAAAATAATTTTTATTATTATGCTAAGTAGCTCATTTGTCAACAATATTATCCAGCCTGGTTCTACCAATTGTTCCAAACTGATATAGGATGGAAGTGAACATTTGTGAAAAACTGTGGGCAGGAGAGAAGCAGCAATGAAAAATTAGCTTGCAGAAAAGCATACAAAAAGAGAAGAACACAGATTAGTCTATTCAATGACTAGAAAAAATCTTGAAGAGCTTACAAAGGGAAAAAGTCAAATTATGTAAGGGGAAAATAAAGAATTATTTAATTTTTTGGGTAACATTTCTGAGATTCACTTCTCTAAAGAGACCAAGTGACATTTTGGAGACAGCAAGTTACTAGGGAAACGTACATCATGCACTCTCAGCGAGGCTTATCTTGTTACAGTTCACAGAACCAGAGTGTCACTGAGGTTGGAAAGCATCTCTGGAGATCACATATTCCAAGCCCTCTGTTCTGATCAGAGTCAGTCAAAGTAGGCTTCTCGGGGCCATGTTAAATCGGGTTTTAAGTGCCTCCAAAGAGGGAGATCCACAATCTCCATGGGCAACCTGTGCCAGTGTTTGATCACTATCACAGAAAAACAATATTATTTATCATACTGAAATGGAATTTCATATATTTTAATTTGTGCCTGTTGTTTCCTTCTCCCCATTTTCTTAATTTGAGGTAAGACATCTTTGGCAAGATTCTAGTGTATTAGTGTACATCCATGCATGCACACTTGTGCAAAAGAACATGGAGCTATGGAAAATGTCAGAACATACTTGTCCTATGCATAGATATTTGTACACCACATTATTTCATTCTGTCTCATTGCGACTAGATGCAGTCATCCATATATTCAGTATTCAAAATTATGCTATTCATCAAAAGAGTAAAACAGTTGCAGCATTATTTATTCTAATCTTCTGCGAATATCTTGGTTTCTTCCTCCCTTATGTTACTAAAAATTACAGGCAGTTATTTGGCAGAGTGCTTAAATGTTGTATCGTCCCCACTTAAGCCTCTGAGGCTGAAGACTTGACTACAAATGAGACAGACATAGGCTACAGATTTTGGTTCTGACAAACGCAAAAGATTTAGCCATGAACAGATCTACATGCAAACAAAGGCATTGAGGGAACATATACCAGCAGACAGGGGAACTCTGACAGTTTGCCGATTCACATCCAGTTACTGTTTCCCTTAAAATACAAAAATACTAGAAACAAACTAGAAAACACATCTTCCTCTGTCATATCAGGCAGGTAGATTACAGAATAACCTGTCCTTTTCCTCCTTCCCATCCCCACCTCAGGCTTCCCACACTTCCTGCTGGTCAGGGGCCCCACTCTGGCAGCTGTACTGGGGCTGCAGCCACCACTGCCCTATTCAGGGCTTGAGCCCAGCTCCACCAGCATACGTGGGGCACACACTGGGCCTGCCAAAGTGGGGCCCTCCAGCAAAGCCCAAAGAGGATGGTGCTACCTCCACAGCCAGCTCTGCCTCTGCAGTCAGAAGTATCTAACTTCTCAGCTATATTTAATGAGGGAAAACCCCTGGAGAGTGTGGCTTCCCAATTTGCATGTTGTTATAATGAAGTGGTTGGACTTAGAAACTTAAACTCTATTTGAGACAGGTTTTTTATCCTTTTGGGTGTTTGAATTTGCCTTTGGGATCTGATCCAGAGTTTACTTGCAAGGTTCCAACAGGCTACAGTGAATTAATTGAGCCCTAATATCTGCTGGGAGCTGGGTGCCTCTTTATGAGACCTTTAGGACCTTCTGCACCTACTTTACAAGGGATGCTCAGCTCTTTTCACTGCCTGAATTGGGTACTGCAGTATTTAGGTTCCTTGCTGGGTATTTCTGAAACAAACCCTAGAGATTTTATACATTTGCTTGCTTTCAAATAGCTAAAGGCATCAGCTATAGAGGACACTGACTTGCTGACAGCTGAAACTCCCTTTCCCTTACTTACTCTGCTCTCTCCTCCTGAAAAAGTCTTTACAATTGCTTTTGTTTCACAGACTTGGGGCTTTTACATTATTGGTGTACAGCCGAAAGAAGTCAGTGAACAGTCTTGATCAAAGCACAGATTAAAATAAGATGGTACAGTGAGTACGCATTTGCTGCCTACATGCATTTTCCCAAGGAGTTTTCACAGAACAATCCTGTTTGTACAGACTGTACTTGGGATGCTGAGGGTGTTGAGGTCTGCAATATGATATTTGATAGCACATGGCTTGCAACAAACCAGATCCATTTTGTATTTTTGTGCCCTTTAATGAATGGGATAAGTATAAGGAAACTAACGAAAAGACCTACTTTGGCAGGATTCAAAGTCCATTTTTTGTAATGCAATTTCTAACCAATTTGTACATTTAATATTTCTTCCCAATAATGCTTGCTGTCATGCAGACCTGCTAAAACCAATATTTAGATGCTTTTAAACACAGTAGGAAATGTGATAATTGTTGATATAGTATTTTCTGCAGAAATTACCAGAAAATGCTACAGAAATAGGCCAGTCAATGAAGCTGACACTTAAAAGGAAAGCCTCAGCTGGAGCAGCAGAGTGCTGGAAGCAGAACCTTAAATTGCAATTGCTCCCAGCTTGCAGAGCTATCACGTTGAATTCACTAGGGTTTTGTAACCTAGAAAGAGAAAATCCTGTATGCTCAGATACACCAAACATGTTATTTTGCAATGGTGAGGGTGGGGAAATGAAGCTGATTTTGTAGGGATATAAGTTTCTGTATTAAATAGCTGCACTACCTTTCTAAATGACTCTAGAATTTTCTATATAGACTTTCCCTGACAGATTGTGATAAGATCAATTCCTCACAGCAATCAATACTTCAGAAACTGTCTAACTCATTAGGCTGGTATCAATCAGAATTTCAAATCTCAAACCAGAACTGGAAAATTGCATTTTCCTCTTGCAAGACTTGTGGTTGCAAACAAGAAAAAATGTCATGCACATAAGAGGAAGAACTTAGCAAGAAACAGGAAGAAGCCTATTGTGAAACTGAAAATCACTCCTCAGAATCAGCAAAGCACAGGAGGCTACGCCTTATGTAACATCTTAAATGGCTGAAATCCTTTAGTTAGATATCTTTTTTCTGCTGGGCTGTTTATGCCCTCTTCAGGATTTATAGTGAAATTAATAGACATGTTCCAGTGAGATTTATTTATACTTTCTCATATAGTTCACAAAATTCTCCCTGCAGAGAGACTGTTCTCAGCAAACCCAAATGGATAAACAATGGGAAAAGTACCAGATCAGGAAGAAAAATATTGGCTAAACTTAAAATAAACTTGTTCAGTAAGAAAATACAGTTTAAATGTTTAAAAAATGCTTAAAGAAAAACTGCACCTTCACAGCTGCAGCGGGTGAATAGGCAATTAGAGCACTCAGGAGAGAGTGAAGGAAAGCAGAAGCAAAGTTTGAGAGGCAAAAAAGATAATTACAGGAGCTGACAAAGCACCTTGACAACATTGTCAGAACTCTGCTCTCCTAGATTCATTTGTCCCCAGGCAGAGCAGAAGGGAGTTCAGAAAACAATCCTTCAGGGTTTTTAGAATCAGAGTTCATAGCTTCACTGTCTTGAAATAGCTCAGTGCTGGTATCTCTAAATATGCTTGCTCAACATGCCAGAAGGCATAATGCACATGAAAATCTCCCTGACCCAGCACTGGGCAGGCCTCTATATTTATTTGGGCTGTTGACACTCCTGAAACTTCTTTTGCTGGTGCTGTCAGTTTTTTTTGTGGGACTTGTGAATAACAACCTCCATATCCTCAAATGTTGTAGCTTAGAAACAGAAGACTCCACAGTCACGCATATTTTTGATACTCATACTGAAATGAGTGAGAATTACATATTAAAAATAAAAAAAAAAACAACCTAGAAGATTCGTCAAAAGACTTCTGTTTGTGTAAGGTAAATCTAGGATTGGGCAGAAGGGATGGAGCATGTTATCTATTTGGCTACCAAAATCAGACATGTCCAGTTGCATTTTAGAACTTTCCTACACCATGAGCAGAGTATTCAACTTTTTTCTTTTCAAAAATCAAAGGTTGAAAGCAGAGTTATATGGTCACACCGTTCACTAGAGCTGAGCCCATGAAGAAAACTGCCACCCCAGAACACTTCCTGAGCTGCTGCTGCTGTGTGCATGGGTGTTCAGGGGTAGGGCTTGGCTGTTAAAGTTCCTGCAGACTTAAGTTACCCTGTGCAGCAGTGGCACAGTGGAAATGTACTCACAGAGCTCGTAGGCATCTCAGCTGAGAGACAACTCCTCAGCTGATCTGGCTCTGTGACAGACAGCTGTCAGACCATTTCCAGACAGTTTAAACAAGACTGGGATGGGCACAAGAACCAGAGCAAGACTCAAGACATAATTCCTGAAATATTTATAGATGGATATATTTATATGGAGTTGATCTGATGGTGTAAACACACCTGAGGACAGGAATCAGCTGAAATGCACAGTACACTGTGTGAAAAGACACTTCATGCTCTTTCAAGCAAAAATGTATTATGGTGTCAAGTCATGCAGGGTGAGACATCAGGACACTGTTCATCTGTTAGTGTGACAAGCTCTAGTAGAATTACTGTGCACACAATCAGAAAACTCCTTAAATAAAAGCATAAACATGAGCAGATTGAGCTCCAGAAGTGAGTTCAATCCACCTTTGAACGTGTTTTAAGTGGCTCTAAGTTCAAAACACAAGTTTGTAAAGGGTCATGCTGCAGCAGGCTCTTCTCCCTGCCCTTTGCAGTGGAGGAATTCAAACACACTCCAGCACTAAAAAGAGTTGCTCTAAAATCCCAAAGGAGTTACTTTTACTCTTAGGATACCAAGCCCTGGTTGCATAATACACAGACTTTTTAATTTTTGCACTTGGTCAGCAATCAGAGAGAATACTTTTTAATCCATCTAGAGAGATCAAAGATCTCTTCTTACACACACTGTTGTGGGAGACAAAACCCTTTAATTAATTCTCACTAAGTGCTATTTAAAACCACCATAACCTCACCCAAAGGCTTATTGTTGTACAATGTCTTTGTGATGCTTTTTTTCTTGCAGAAAGACTGGATGGGGGGAGGGGAGGAAATAACTTCCCATACATACCTTGTAGCTTTAGGATCCCAAATTACAATGTCAGCATCAGAGCCCACAGAAATTCTGCCCTTCTTTGGGTAAAGGTTGAAGATTTTTGCTGCATTTGTGCTGGTAACAGCTACAAATCTGTTTTCATCCATTTTTCCACTGTGCTGCAGAAGAGTGCACAAACGCAAAGTCATTACTTTTTTAAACAGGAATGAAAAAAATGCTTTTCTGGTTAAAAAACTAGGATGAGTGACATCACATCAATTTTTTTAAATGTCATACTGAGGAGTTTAGAAGTAAAAGTAACTATTTGTCTCAGATGCCCATAATGCAATGTACTTTCACTAAATACCATAACTTTATCTTATTTTATCTCACAGCAAAGAGGAAAAAAGACAACTTTAAACCAAACACTCTGTGGATCCAGCCTCAAGTCAACTGAAATCAAATGTTTTAGCTAGCTTTAAATCTGTAGTCCTGCTCAGCAATTTCATCAGGAAACATAACATCTCTCAGGTATCTTTGTTTTGGAAAACGGTGACACAATATTAAGGGGAGCCTAGAAGGTGATAATGGCATGGCAAGGCACAACGTGTAAAATAGTAAAACTGATTTGCAAATTTCTTTAGCAATGACACAGAGTATAGTCGTGATCAGTAAATGCTACAATCAAGTAGTATAAAAAACAGATTTTCTGATGTGACATTTCAGCAAAAAAGCAAATAACAATAGATATACATGGGTCTTGGGACTGTAAAACTGCTTTGTAACTAATTTAATCCAGGTTCCATGAGTGTTGTTTGTTTGGAAAGCCACCTACACTGGCAGTAATATTATGCATAGGTCAGTCTAGGAAAAAGAATGTCATAAAAACATGTTTATGGTGGCCTGTGAGCAGTCATCTGAGAAGAAAAGTGTAATGAAAATGGTGAACACTGCTCTTCTAAGTAATGGTGTGTGGGAAGGGAGGAAAGCTGTTCAGACAAACTCACAGAGCTGTGCAATATTTTACAAGTGAAAAAAAGGAGGATATTATCAATTTAAGAACTTTTAAAAAATTAACTTGCCCAACAGGATACACTGTTCAAAAGCAGCACTGCTGAACATATTCATGTCTCAGTTTCACACCAACCACAAGCCAGATTTCTGTTTACACCATAAGAAATCTCACTAGAGCTGTGCCACAGGTGAGTGTAGGCACAAGTGTGTGTGTTTTGTACATACCAACTGGAGCTGAATCCCAAATACAGATAAACAAAAGACAACATGAATCAAATTCTTACCAAGTGTGTGAGGTAGGTAACTATACTGTGACAAATTACTATGCTTCACAGAGTATTATCAACATGACTTCACTACTGCAAGAGAGTTTAAATAGAACTAGAGCTTCCAGAAAGTAACAGTTTTGCATTAGCCAGAGCAATCATAAGACCTGGTATGCATCAGATTCCTTGAGAGATTTCCTTACCTCCCTCCTCATCAGACATTATCTGAGAGGCACTGACCATTCTTGTGTTGGCACTGAGACTCTGAAGTCAGTGGGACTTGAAGGTGTTCATATCATCTTATCACATAGCTGAACCACACATTAGAGAAGCATTTCTTAAAACATAAATTAGAAATTGACAGGCACATCACTGTGCAAACTCATACAATGGTTAAGTTGGAGACAGATAAAAGAGGAAAAAACACACAGCTGATAGAGTTGAAACTGTAGGCAGCTTTTTTATTTTAATTTCATTAGTTTTAAAAAATGCTTCAAGGAAATATACTTGCAGTACCACTGAAACAATAGCAATCCCTTACTGCTAAACAACAGAAATTATTCTTTAGTGAAATATTTTAAGCACCAAGAATCTTCTTCCATCTTCCAGAAGCATAAAGCTAATAAGGAGTGTTATAGTTTTCAATTGAATGAATTATCCTATGATAAACACACTTGATAAAACTGAAGAGTTAATACCTGCTGAGAGATTACGTTTTGTTGGAGAGATCAATTACCTCTATGTTTGAACATTTCAATATACTTACAACGCCCTTTTCCCATATGACTGACATCCTATCCTCCACACCATTCACTCCATTAGGGATTTTTGTGAAATCATCTTTTCCCAGAGCTTTCTGGCATATGTCAAAGGTGCAATTGTCAGTCCCTGTCACAGAGAGGTCACCACTGCACAGAAACAAAGTTCATTATGAATCAGAGCATATACCAGCCTTACCACAGAGAAAAATCTGTTGTAAGGCTGGGTAGATCAAGACATCCATCCTTCAAGACAAAATCTGATATCCCCTGCCAGTCTGCCTTCAGTACCATCCTCCAAGACTGGCTCCACAGTAGCAGCCAGTTGCCCAACTAAGCAGTTTCCTCTTCAGAAACCCCTCAGAAAAAAACAAGCACCAGTACTGGCACTTTTGCTCTGGATATCCCACAAATGGAGGACTGTCCACTTTGCCCAGAGCAAGCAGCTCGGCTTCATCCTCACTTTGAACAATTTTAGTCTGTGTTACTCTATATGACCTACGAAATTATTATGGATCTGCAAGACAGTTAGCCTGTGTATAGACATACCTTTACAGGCTCTTTGTTCAAATTCAAGCCTTTTATGGAGTTAACTTTTACTGGTAATGAAATATCAGCAAACCACACTTCTTTTTAAGTGCGGATATCCTAAAAATACTTCTTTTTCCACTTCCTTCTGAAGTAGACGTTATGAAGTGGGTACCTTATAAGTACCTTCAGAAGTTAGCAAGCTTAGTTTTTATGCAGTATTTGAATTTCAAGTGAAAAAGGCAGCTGACAACAAACCCCAGAAAATTTAGCTGTGACCCCATCTTTTACACATTTCCCACTGACTTGCAGCCTTATTATCTTCCTGGTCATGTTGCAATTTTTGCTGTGGTATGAGCAAGGCAAGGCTTATTGAATAAAATCATATGTGGACAGAAGACCATAAGAGTTCAGAGAAATAAAATATGAACTCGTATTTTTTTTTTTAATCTGTGATTTCACCCTCCATTTCTCCTTTCTGCTAATGTAACATTCTGTATTTAGAAAATCTCCAAAGCATCAGCCTGCTATTATGGGCTCCTGACAAAATTTGCTGTGCGTTTGGGTATCAGCGGTCACTGTTGGTTCATCTGCTTACTTGGCCAGTAAATTCATGAGGAAACCAGGAGTAGATGGATCTGGTCTCAGTGGGGGTCCCATCACATATGCTGCAGCATGAGCCCAATCTTTATTCCAGTAGTTGGTGCCATCAGTGCCAAGACTTGCAGCAATAGGCTCCCCATAAACCACCTTTCCTGAAAAATGTAAAGCAAAGATATCATCATCAAACAACATAAACATGCATAACTTGTATTTTCTCTGTTGAGGATTTTTTGGTGGCAATGAATTTAAATTTCAATGAGTGTTTCAAATTAAACACCAACATGTGGAAAGACATAATAAATTAAGCTATAGCACAGCATCTTTGTTCTGAATATTCTGCTGGTGATTTCCCAATATATTTCCTCCTAAGAACATTGCTTGGGCAAGTTTTTTAATTAAATTGTTGACAGATATACTATAATGGGTTTTACACATTGTTTACTATGAATGTGATTGAGATTTCAAAAGGAATGCAGTTCTCAGTTGCATTAATTATATTTAAGATTCATATACTTGGTAGCACCTGTTTAGTGCTCTGAAATTAGTGACTGCATAACAGTGTAAGTTAATATATACAGCATACAGACTTTGCAAGGTGATAATTATCGTGGTATAATTATGCCAGGAAGAACAATATGGCAGGAGACATAAACCAGAAAGTATAGAAAGATTTCCCAAATCAAAAGCTATAAATAACTTACTTTTAAAAGTTATCTCCCAAATTTTAATCTCTTATGCTTTGATGCACAGTATCCTATTTTCCTCAGAAGAAGACACCAATCCAGACTAGCTGTTAGTCTTTGGACAGTGCTAGCATATTTTAACTACTTTTTTCTCCTGGGAAACATGGGTTTGAAAATCCTCAGAACAAGATATTTCACTCCTTGAGTGAGTGGTGCAGACACTTTGCAGTTCTGTAGCTGACATGTGGTGCCTCTCAACTGCACTGCCTCCAACTGCAGTGGTCACTACAGAACCAGAATAAACTGGGACCCTCCACACTCACTCAGAAGCCACTTGGTGCTGGTTAAAATCTCTGCTGGGTCCCAGCAAGGGCCTTCTCCCTCCCCTGATCTCTACAGACAGTGGGTATTTTGCTTTGGATGCCAGATTTCACTCCAGGCACAGTTTTTATTAGAACTATCACTGCATTGCTCTGGCAAGGCCACAGCTGGTGATTGCTTGTGACCTTTCTCTGACTTTCTGTGTGCAAATCACACAGTCATGGTACGCCTGGAAAACAAAAAGCAAAACTTTCCAGATTTCTCTTGGTACATTAGACATTACTTCTGTGAGCTACTGGATTGTACCTCCTCCACTGGCATGTAGCTACTGAGGAGCTCAATTATTTTCAAAATACATTTCTTATTGCACTAGTGCCATTCCTGAAATCTTTGGTGCTAGATTTGCAAAAAGGCCTCATACAATTTTATTGCTACATGTTGTCAAGGTCTGCTTGGCTGTTACTGTATTGTACATTTATTCTAAGTACTACTTAGTACAACTTCGTCCACAGCCTAAAGATTCCTTATTAGCATTGCTAATTTCCTCCACCCACCTCAGTGTGCTCTGACATGCTCAATGTGCTTCTCCCATATTGATGCTTTGGCTTGGAGCTGTCTAAGTTCTCAGTCCCGCTTATCTACATATGCTATAGATCAATACTTGAGCTCAGAGGGAGACCACCATTTATTAGACTTGAAAACATGACTTTGGCAGTTATTTACTGGATTTTTTGCATCTTATTTTTGAAACTCAAAAGCACTGACTATGAGGCCATGCATGGAAGTGATATGACCTCTCACTGATGAGGAGGTTTAAGCAGATTAGTGTTTTCTTAATTCAGAGCTGAATGATGAAACATAAGAAGAGACATGGATAAAACCAGGAGAATGGATGAAATTAGGATGAAACCTGATTTACCCTATTTCAGGGTCTTCCCTGCCTCTTGCAGCAATTCTGACCTTCCCTGGCCAGCTCCAAACACTGTATTTGAGGGTCAACTGCCACCAATCCAGATGTATCTAGAGAAGGTCTGGTGTATATAACCAATCTGTCATATTTACCTATTGTTTTTTGACAGATTTTTCATGATCAAAGCCACCAAAAAGCCGAGGGAGAGAGAAGTGTGGTTTGTGTCATTCCTACTGCATTTAAACAAGCCAAAGAAGCTTTCATCCAAAGTAAACCTGAGCTGTGAATCATTAGGACATAGATACAAATTATTAAAATAAAAATTGCAGGAAAATAATAAATTTTTTACTTAATAAATACTTCAGAGAATAAGAAAATAATTTTCTCATCATAGTTTCACAACATGAAAATAAGTTTTCAAGCTCCCATTTGGATATGCTGAACTGATTCTAACTCATGTACCAAAGCTGATGACAGTATTTCTGCAGTCAGAGTTTGAGCTAACCAGCTCCCTTTGTTCCCATGAGTGGGGAGGAGTAGAAGTTATTACCTCAAGTGATTTTGAGTCTGAACACTGCAGTTTCAATAGACTACCTTTGGACAGTTCTGCTGAATGTGCAATTTCTCACATTTCATTTGGACCATGACTAGCCAGACTGAAGGATACAATAATATCAAGATTCTGCTTTAAACTTAGAAAAAAGGAAATTCTGCACTAAGGTTCTTTTAGCTCAACTGGCAACAAGGAAATTCTGCATTAAGGTTCTTCTAGCTTGATTGGCTTCTGCCTATAGACGTAGAAGTGAAGTCATGCAGTTAGAAATCACGTTTTTCAAATTGTTATGTTTTCCAGCATTCAATAAAACCAAGGAACCACCATGTGTTCTGCTGTTTGGTCATCCTGACACCTCTGAGCAGCTGGTAAATAGCTGTGTATTTGGTGGCTTTTTTATCGGGTGCCCAGACTGGCTAGCAGAGCTATTTTTAAACATATTACTTTATCAAAAAGAAGAGCATTCAACTGCAATTTATTTTTCCACCTACCAGAACTCAAAAAGAGTTGCAATACTGATAAACCCCAACTAACATTTACAGATTTGAAGAACTGGTCCATATGTACTTATTCTAGTAGAATTTTTAGAAGCACTTAAGATAAGGTCGTATGGGGCAAAGACACTCACAAGCTATGCTCTGAAAGGAGCAGAACTGCAAGGCAGGATTTATTGAATCAGGGATAGCATTTCATCCATTAGGCTATATACAGTCTGGACCTGAGCTGTCCTGCATGAGACAGCTAAAAAGTTGACATTTTTAGGTGCATTCCTGTGCTCAGAATCAGCTTGAGAATTTATATTCCCTTAGCCATGGACATGCCTTTTCCTCTCACTAAGAAGAGACAAAACCCATGACTCTTGGTAGGAACCAATCTTGTAAGGCTAAGTAAGCTTCTTCGGATCTAGTCAAGGACATATTTTTGTATGCACTTTTTTGAAAAGGAGAAACTTTTGTAAAAAATTACTTTTTCAGTAATTCAGTAAGACTGTGCTCTCCAGGTTTCCACTAGAAAGTCATCTTTTCCTGGCTATAGCAGCACATTAAATGAGGAAAGGGACATGATCTTTAATCATCACACTGGATGATCTTTAAGGTCCCTTCCAACCCAAACCATTCTATGGTCTCCAGTTTTAGCTGGGATTCAGCTTAGATTGAAAGCATTTTTTAGGGGGAGATAGTATAAATCATGTACCCCTAAATCACATTTTATTAGCCTTGCTCTCTCCACAAGCATTCCTGGTGGCAGGAATGGGTGACAAGGCCATATTAATTTTCTCCAGTAAGTTCACATCTGGTAATCCTAATAAGGAGAAGAAGCTGCACCAGACACCAGAGCTCTACAGCCTTGTATTCTCACTGGAAGGAAGATTTTACACAATAGCAGGAAGAGAATCCCTTTTGTCTTCCCACTTAAGGGAATGAGAGTGTCATGCACACAAGTATATCAGACTGCTCTTCTGTGGAAGAATACAGTTCCTCTACCTACTCTGTCAAGGTTCAAGGCCATGTTTTGCACAGGGATGAAGAAACAGCCCACCGAGACAAGAAAGGACAATTCTCACAGAGGTGCTGTCTTTGACCCTCTCAGTGGAGAACAGATGAAACACTGCTTTTAACAAACAGGCTGGTAAGGCCCCTCAAAAAGAACAGGACGGGGGCATGAATTAGCCTGTCTCTCTCCAACATCATCACAATATGGAATTTTGGATTCCCTGTTGAATATTCATCAGCTATTGCAGATGACATGCTGCTACAATCTAGAGGTCTCCTTCCTTGAGTGGTGTTGTTGGACATCAGAGCAGACATAGATGGTGAACTCTGGCATGAAAGAGAGAAGAAAAGACTTTTGCTCACCTCATTCTCTTAAGGTTTGCTTTATCTAGAATAAGAACTGCTCTTCCTTTACAGTATGTATGACTGATTTTAACCTTCAAGGTCTGAGCTCACTGAAGTCAACAGAATTATGCCTACTGTCTTGAGCAAGCTCTATCAGGCCTTCAGCCTCTAATATTAGCTCTCACCTTGTATAGCTAAATGAGGGACAAGGAAGAATTGGGCTCTGACTTACATTTTTGACTAGGAAAATCGCTATCCCATAGAATTTGAAAAGCAATACAATTGCAATTCAATTCTGGTATCACACTGTCAACCTGAAAATAGATTTCACTCACTGAAGATCTGTTTTTCCCCTTCTGAGGTCAGTTATGGAGTTGGAAGGGATATCAGTCTTCCTCTGACATAGGCAGGGATGAATATGAACATATGCTTTGTATTTCAAGCTAAGTGCTTGGAAAGGAACATTTCACAACTGTGAATAGCAGGAAGCTAGCATCAAGACATGGAGAAACTGTTTTGGAGTGAATATTTCAAACGCTTGAGAGGTTTCCAGTATCTAAGAGCTTACACAGCTTTCACGTTAGAGTGGTTTTTAACCTGTCCAAATTGAAAGTCTTTCATCAAAATATTTGACTTTTATTTATGTCATTCATACAGTAGTTCAAGAATTTTTTTTTCTTGTCTGGAACTCCTTGCTTTCGATTGCTACTCTTTACTTAAAGATGGAAAATAACTACTACTGAAACAAACAATAGTGAATTTACAATCACCAAAATTTATACAGATCAATCTCATTAAAAACTCCAATTCTTGTAACTACCTTTCTGGTACTCCAGTTATCTCTTGAAATTTCTTAATCAATCTTAGAATTCTTTTTTCTAAACAGCATACTTCTGTGCAGATCAATATGAATTATGAAGATATGTTATATGTTGCTGTGCACAAAGGCAAGCACTGGTGAATCTGACTCCATCAGCCCAGGAAGCTATAAAATACAATTTGAACCACAATGTGCATCAATTGTCCCAGTTTTTTTCTTAGTACATACTGGAAAAGCACACTTCTATCCTCAGTAACCAAACTGGCACTGCAGACTATTTTTACAACACACACGTAATCAATATTGAGAGCATTTACTGTCAGCATAAAATTCTTTATTTGAACAGTGCATTATAGAACACTGTCTTAGCTCTTTTATATTCACAGCCAGTGTTTCATCTTTAATCTGGCTGTTTCAACTGCTGTCATAGCTTCTTGTAGTTACTGTTCACAAGATGTCTGTGAATGTACAAACAGCCGATGGATATAATCCAGATTCCTGGCAGCACTGGCATCTAGTGGAGAAATCTAGTACAGCACAGTACAAAAAGACGTGCCAATAAAATATATTCTGGTAAATTCTTTTACAAACTTGGATTACTGTTAAGTCTTACTAGAAGTCAGGGTCATAAATATTGTGCATAAACATATCCGTCTATATTAGCACAATGACATCACACTGCTTTGATTTAACATGATCTCATATTCTATGTTTTAATGTCAATAATCTATGCCCCCTATTTAGGCATTATCTAAAGACAAGAAATAGCGAAACTGAGGTCTGTATGAGATTCATATCAAGTCAGGTGAAAACAAGCTGTAAATGCAAAAGAAGTAAAAATATAGTAAAAAATATGTAAAAAGATAACGAGGACAGATAATTTTAAGTCCTCCAAATCTTGAGCTCCTGTCCTGCTCCTTCCACCTTGATAACGTCTCCTCACGGTGCTGTTGTTCCATGTGCTGCTCTGGATGAACTTACAGATGAGGAGAAAAAACATCCTGAGTACCTATGGCCTTCAGGCTGCTTCTAGTCTACCTAACAGATGGTCAGGAAAGTCTGGCCCCCTTGGCTGACCAGACTTATTTGTGAACACTGCAGTGCAAACCCGAGCAACCCTGCACTGGTGGAAATCAAGGCTTTCAGACACTGTCATCTTCATCATGACTTTTAAGCGCCCAGTGAATAGGAGTCATGGTCACATCATGGCACTGTCTGTAAAAATATGGTGTGGTCTCTGTTACAGAATTTCTCATCAAGATAGCTGGTAAAGTCTTGCAGACAAACTCAAGAGAGGAGAACAGGAGAGTATTTATTGTCTTGAACTTGTCACATAATTTCTAACACAATAATGCTGTCCTGGCCATCACTTTGACCTTGGAGGTGCAGTACAAAGAGAAAAAAATTGCTCTGGGGAGAAGGGAAAGTCCCAGTTCTGGTTGCTGTTCTTCCACACTGCTCCCCTTGGGTCCAACAACACACACACACACACACACACACAATTTAGACACTCTAAGAAATTCACCCGTGATCTGAGGCTTATGACACCCATGAAAAGTAAGACACTAATGTTGTGTTTGGTTTTCCATGACCCTTCCCCCAATGCCATTGTCCAAGCATAAAAGAATTAGGACTTTTACCTTCTCTTCGTGCATTACTTATCACATTTGCTGAAGATTTACTCATTACATGGACTACATAAAGGGGGCAGTTTACAGCATTTGCAATGGTAATTGCTCTTTGTGTAGCTTCAGCTTCCACTTCTTCAGGACGACACAGTTCATGACCCTCTGGGCCAGTTATTCCCATTGCCAGCATCTTCTTTGCACCCTGAGGACCACACAAAAGCATGTAAGAGTCACTTAAAGTGTATCTATGGTGTGAGCATGCCGTCAATCAAATGGATTCTGAACTAGCCATTTCAGCCAGTTCTAGGAAAAAAATAAGTAGGCAGTTACTATTTTTTTCTGAAATAAGTTACTGTAGTTTTATCTGAAATCTAATATATCTAGCAAACTAAGGTCGCAGAATGCCTAAGTAAATTCAGAGAACACACTTCACTGTCTTGCGGGATTAAATCACTGTTCTTGAAAACCCTACCTCTCTCTCAATATGTACACTTAAATATCATGGCCAAGAATGTCCAATGATACTACTAACCCTCTTTGGAGAGAAAAAAAAGGAAAAATCCTTACTAAGCACAAAGATGCATATCCAGAGCCTCTGAAAACTCCAAGATTTTAAGAGGCAAAGGGTTATTTAACAATGAATTAATTTTGGTTACAGGACCTGGGGCAGAGTCAAAGCACTGTTGACTGGAGTAGTTGAAGAAACTATTCTATTACAGTTATCACTGGTGTCAAGTATAACCAGTGTAGTTATACTCTCAGGGCCTCAGAACTCTCAGTGTCTCCACACAGCACTAAGGTGCCAGTAGCAAGAATGAAGTGAAGCTAATTATGCATAAAGGGATGTGGAGCTTCTATGCCCAGTCAGCTTTCTCCACACTTCTGGATTTCCTTCTGTTACATGAGCTGACTATGTCTGGAGAGACCAAGGGTTAGGAACATCTATATTCCTGACTTTGATGGACAAAATGTCAAATGTGCACCTGTGCAATTAGTTCCCCATTCTCTGCGTGGACTTGAGCAACTGCCCCAAGTTCTTTACAGCAGGAAAAGGCTTCATACAGCTCCTCATCATTGACCATGTATACATCTTTATAGGCCATAAACATCTTGAAGGAGTTGACACCTTTGTTTTGAACAAGACTTTTCATTTCTTGCTTCACCTGAAAAATACAATAATTATATTTTACATGTTAATAATTTTGTACAAAGAAATTTTAAGTTTGAAGGGTGAGCCTTTACTCACCCATCAAACATATGTTCAGTACAAATAGCCCAAGTCACATATTTAAAGACTGACTTAGACTTTTTTTCTTGTATCAAATTGATTCTCAAAGTGTATAAAAGAGTAGCACAAATATTGGAAGCACAAGCTAATTACAGGAGAGAATGCTTTTTACAAAAGGTAATGAGGCAGAATTTAATTTCAAATAAACCTGATGTTGAATACACCCGTTCTAATATTACAGTCAACGTGTCCAACTCACAACATAGATATTTGTGCAAAAACTGATTTTCAAAATTGGATTGCAATGGGCTTCAGTTTCTAGCAAACAACACAGTGACAAAAAGGTTTCTCTTTTAGAGCTTTTTCTTGACCCTAAACAACACACACAGCCTATTGAAACATTTTTGTTGTCAAACAAAACAGCTCCAAAATATTAAGTGCAGGCTTGCTATTTTATTGTTTGTTTTTTGTTGTTGTTGTTTTGGGGTTTTTGTTTGTTTGTTTGTTTGTTTGTTTGTTTTTCTTTGTATTCACTGCTTGCTAGGATTCCCTGCTTCTGCTAGAGCCTATGAAGCCCAATACAACATTACATCACAAAGATAGACACGTATTTTAGTCTCAAGGCTTCCTGTATGACTCTTTAGCTAGAAGCATATATTACATCATTTTGGCTCTCTCTTCCCAGCAAAATGATGGTTACAGTAATTGACATGCATCTGTAATACTATTACAATTTCCATGGGATTAATTGCTTTCAAAAAAGTAAAATATTATTTTTCATCTTCTCTCTAATGATCTGGTTGGGTCTGCCCAAGAAGGATAAGATATATAAAATACTCAAGGAATTTTTTTTTAGTTATCCAGAGGAGGGATGGGAACACATCTTGAGTGGGAATTATCAAATTACCTGACAAAAGGCCCTGCTCTGGCACAAATACAGAGGCATGTCATTTATCCTCTTCAATATTTACTACAACAAACAGAAGGCATTGTAAAGAATGTATGCTTTTAATTAACACAAGTTCTGGTGAGGTGAGAGATGGTCAGATGGGCATGAAATATCAGTCTTCTTATCAGGCCTTTTGCAGCTACACAATGCCCAATCTCTCTATTTCTTTTAATCTCGGCTTTTAAAAATAGTTATATTCTTGATATAAACTAGAACATTTCATTGATTTACACCTCCCTCGTTTTATTGGATTTGTCAGTACAATTCCACTATTGTCTGCTGAGGCTGTTTTAAATGCACATTACTCAAATTTCATTGGAGAATTTATTTCTTGTCTTTGCCTTAAATTAGAAGTGGTGGTTAGCCTATTTTAGCACTCAGTACACAGAATACCAAAGATGTGTTGTTTGCAGAGTGAAAGCTTTGGTGCATATATTTTAGAATTTGAAATTTAGAAGAAGTACTCATATATAAAATAGGAATTTACTTAATATATCTGTGTATTGATGCATAGTTCTCTGAGAATCCAAAATAATCTTGTAAAACATGATATCATTCCAATAGATATCAAGCACCAAAAAAATTAATTTATCAGTAAAGCTTTTAGGCTATCAGCAAACATTCACTCAGCAAAGATGATTATCCCATATGTAAACTCCAAAAGGTTTTATAAATTATTTCACATTCAGCATACTATTGGCTACAGTCCTGCTTTACTTTAAGGGGCCATTACTGCAGTCATCCAGGAAAGGAAGTCTTCCTCTACAAAAGTAGCCAAGTACCATATTTTTTATGTATACCCTTATAAAAACAACAACAAAACCAAAACCAACCAAACAAAAACATCAAAACCCACAAAAAAACCCCACAAAAACATCAAAACTCACCAGAAGCATAAAATACAAAGTATTCAAGCAACAAAGGACAAAATTATTGTAAACACCTCCTTCCCTCTCTGAAACTGCCTGGTCTTGGTCTTGCACAATCCCTACCTTTAACTTTGTGCAGTATTATCCAGAGATATAGGCTATATGAAAACATTTTAAAATGCATATACTATCAGAAGGGCGTGGGCTATTTCAAATGTTGTTTTTAATCACAAAAACACTAACCAGTAAGCTATATTTAGCACGTGAAGACTAATTCAAAGCAGGTGTGGTACAAATTTATGGAAATTAAATCAGCTCTTGTGTCTACCTTGTTGCTCCACCATGTAACTGCCACATGCAATGAATAATCACAGCAGACTTTAGGGTCTGCCCAGCTTTTCCATGTATCAAAAGCTTCAGTAAGAGAACAACCTTTCTGAGGGATGGCAAAGTCGATGATCATAGTGGTTCCTCCTGCTATAGCTGCCTGAAAAGAAGAAAGTTAATATTTAGCAATCAGAAAGAATGTAAATTTCCTCCCACCCTCTCCAACTCCCTTACATCAATTAATCTGGATACACTGAAAAGCCAAAAGCCATTGAGGAGCTCCCCTGAGTAAAGTCCAGACTCGAAAAATTATTATGGAGATTAATTTAATTTGCTTTGAGAAAAATGTTCTCAAAAGTGTGTTCGGGAGAATCCAAGTGAAATTCTCAGAGCTGAAGGAGAAGCTTCTTTTTGTGTACAAAAACTTATCAAAGATTTGGAGATGTGTCTATAGTGCTCTTACACCATTGAGTTTCCTCAAGTGTGTGGAATCACTGAGGAAGAAGAGCACTAGAAGAGCACAGTCAGCTTGAGAAATGTTTCCTCAGAGTCTATGTGGTAGAAAATACAAGCCTGAGTGACAGGCAAGTATTAAAGGGCAAATACACAACAACAACAACAAAAAATCCCATTGAGTTTGAAAATACAATATGAAAACCCTCAAACTCATGTCTATCACCAAAATACTTTAAAAGTGTATTTTTATTAGTATCAGGATATCATTTAGTAAAACTGCATAGAGAGTTTTAAATAGAATGAGTAATTTACATCCTCTACATAAATGTTGCCAAGTAAATAAATAAACTACAACTTTATTTAATAGATTAATGATGATCAGAAATTGCTTTTTCACTAATCATTTCCACTCTCCTTTATGGACAGTTGAATTATTACTTTTCTTGCCTTTGGAGAGGGAAAAAGGCTCTCAGATGCCAGATCCTTGACTAAAAGAAATTGATCCAATACAAAAATTCCTTTGCTGAAATTGTTGCTTTCGTCCAGATTAGCAAAAAAATCCTCTCTTTTGCTCTGAACAACATCAGTTTGCAAAACAGTAACAACCAATTCAGATCAAAATATGCACAGTTCAGGTTCACAGGATCAGAGAATCACAGAAATAACTAGGTTGGAAAGACCTTTGAGCTCAAGTCCAGTTTATGACCTAACACCACCTTATCAACTAAAGCATGGCACTGAGTGTCACATCCAGTCTTTTTTTAAACACCTCCAGGGACAGTGACTCCACTACCACCCTAAACAGCTCATTCCAATCACTCTTTCTGTGAAGAACCTTTTCCTAATATGCAGCCTAAACTTTCCCTGGCACAGATTAAGACTGTGTCCACTTGTCCTTTGGCTGCTTATCTGGGAGACCAAGCCCCACCTGGCTGCACCTTCCTTTCCCAGAGTTGTAGAGAGAGATGATGTCTTCCCTGAGCCTCTTCCAGGCTGAACAGCCCCAGCTCCCTCAGCTGCTCCTCACAGGGTTTGTGTTCCAGACCCTTCACCAGCCTTGTTGCCCTCCTCTGGATACATTTGAGCACCTCAGTGTCCTTCCTGAATTGAGGGACCCAGAACTGGACATAGGATTTGAGATGTGTCCTCACCAGTGCCCACTACAGGGGGACAATCCCTGCCCTGCTCCTGCTGGCCACACTATTGCTGATCCAGGCCAGGATGCCATTGGCCTTCTTGGCCACCTGGGCACACCCTGGCTCACGTTCAGTCTGTTGTCAACCAGCACCCCCAGGTCCCCTTTAGCCTGGGCACTGTCCAGCTGCTCTGTCACAGCCTGTAGCGTTGCAGGGGGTTGTTGTGGCCAAAATGCAGGATGTGATGCTTGGACTTGTTAAACCTTGTATTGTTGGACTTGGCCCATTTATCCAGCCTGTCCAGGTCCCTCATGCTGTATTACTCCGCCTTTTTCTACAACAATTAGTCTCATTCTTCTTTCTGTTTGCTTAGAAATCAGAAGAATATTTTTAAATATGTCGGCATATTTTGCAAAAAGAGAAGTTTGGAGAGTGACACAAGTATTTGCAAATATCTAATGAATTGAACAAAACATTTTCTCTAGGAAAAGTTGTTCAAAGTGTTAAATATTTTTCAACAACACTGATTGACTTATTTGTTAAACAAGATTTAAAGAAAATGTATAGATTTCAAGAAAAAAAGTCATAAGTTCCACAACTCCACTCAAAGTCTCTTTTTATTCCCTACATCTTTTTCCCCTCTCTATCTGTAAAGACAGGTACCTTTACTCATTCAACTGAATGGGTAAATCTTAGCTAATCATTGTAGCATATTTTGCAATACTTGGAATGCAACTCTGTCTCCCTGAATTTCTTGCCAAAATATTTGTTAGATGATGATCTTCAGTGAATTGGTTTGAACTCTTTCCACACTTTGAACTGGGTTAAGAATATTCACAATATCCAACTTTTTGACATCTGATTGTTAAGCTGGATTTAGAATCTTCTTGTAGGCACTGAAGTGACTATCTAGACATCCTGTTTTGTATAACAGCCTCTGTTTTGCAGGTTCCCTGTCCTATAAATACCTCAGAGTTACTCAGAAAACCTTAAAAACTAATTTTCTGCTTTTTAGTAAACCCCAGTTCTCCTGTGAGAGGAACTGGGTATAACAGTCTCTGTGAAGGTGATGGATTCATACAGACAAGCCAAGTAGGGCAATGTGATCTTTTCTGTGAACAAAAGATTTCAGTCTGCACAACAAAGCTCTTAGAAAAGTGTCTTGAAAATTTTGGTAATGGAAACTGTATGGAGATGATGCATAATACTGTTAATAAGAGTAATTGATACTCTATTCATATGCAGGGAATATAATAAGATCAGCTAAAAAGCTGAAAAAACACTCACTACAAGTGTAAAACTGGGAGAAATTAGGTACTTTCATAAAGTGTATTTGAAGTGGACTTTCATTGAGACACACAGTAAGCACCAAAGTGAATGACAGAAGAAAAGCCTGCATTGCCTCATGCTGACAGAGGAGAAAGATCAGATTACCACAGAAGTGCTCAAACACCATTGTGGAATTAAACTTGCTTTAGTTAACCTTTGCTCAGAAAAGTATGAAGCTTGATGCATGTACCAAAGCAGGTTGTAGCCTGCATGCTGACAGCCAGGTTAAATGCCTGCCCCACTTGATCCCTGCAATCCCAATGTTATTTGGGCTTCTGAAGGACCCAAATAACATACTGGTTGAGGGTGGACCTCTGAGTACCCCAACTGCTTTATGACAATGTCCCAGCCAAAGGGACAGGAACAATTGGCCATGCTTGATTCACACTCTATTCTCTCTTTTAGGAGCAATACTGGATGACCAGCAGACATCCCTCTCTGAGAAAGCCCAGATGCACACACAGACCATGCACATGTGCACTCACCTTAGTTCCAGTGTAGAAGTCATCTTTTGACCTGCTACCCATAAAAGGGAACTCCATGTGCGTGTGAGTATCAATGCCCCCAGGGATCACCAGCTTGTTGGTGGCATCCAGCACAAAGAGTCCAGGCGAAGGCTCCGGGTTTAGGTTTGGTCCCACCTGCTGCACCACTCCATCTTCCACATACACATCAGCCATCACAGACAGGTCATCATTCACAACTTTTCCCCCTTTGATCAAAAGTCTCTGCCGGGCCTGGATTTGGGGTGGCATGCCAGCAGGTGAGAGTGAGGCCTCAGCTCAGGAGGTTGATCTTGCCTCAGAGCACTTCACTGTCCCTCCTCCCAGAGCAGCAGCTCTCTCCAAATGGCCCTAAACACACACCACTCCATGCTCTTTAAATAGACACTGCAGGAACTGCCCCTTCTGCCCCTGGCAGCTCCACCTCCCTCCTCCCTGCAGCCCAGTGACACGGATGGGAGCAGAGTGCTGGCATTGGGCCCCTTCTGCTCTGGCTCTGCCTGGACAAAGTGATCCAGGCTTCTGCGGTATCTGGGCTGTTCTCAGCACTCACTCCAGCCTGCTCTGGGCACCTGGGGGTTTGCAGCTTGCTGAGCTGCCTTGAAAATGTGGCTATTTTATCACCTTGTGACGCCCAAAAAGTAAACTAAGCTCTTTGCAGCCACATTTGAGGAAATCAAGGGTGACCTGAGCTCTCCACAGAAGAAGTCAGAGAGCCCAGAGGTGCTCCTAACACTGGCCACACAATCACAGCTGACCCCAGGGCACCCCCAGGCTGTGCCCCTAACACTGGCCACACAACCACGGCTGGTCCCAGGGCAGCCCTGGCCTATGGTGGCCCCTAGAATCTGCATGCCCTGGGGGAGCCCTTCCTGAGGACCAGGGGAAAGTCAGGATCTTCTGTGCTAGGTTTCACACAGGGCTGGTGCAACTTTGGCAAGATGTGGCTTGTGTGTTCAAAATATAGACCTGGAAAAAGAGGTGGGAAAGTAAAACGAAGACATCTGGAAAATAAGCTAAAGACTGGAGCAGGAGAGGAAAGACCTGCTCTGTACCATTTCAGAGGCACTAGTTTTTAGGCATTTTCCCATTTCTCCCATAACTCTGGATTCACACACTCAGCAGTGACACTGCTCAAGTGTGTCCCTAAAACTGCTGAGTACCTGCCATCTTCATCCCTTCTCCTCCTCCAGTTCAGTGGTGATGATTTAGCAAGATAGAACAGTGTCTCTGAGGGCTATGAGAGGGTGCACACATAGGGTACCAAAATGCTGATTAGTATTTTCTATGAAAGGAGTTTGGACATGACAGACCTAGATAGTCATCTCTGAGTACACTCTTGGGCTAGTGGCAGTGGTAAACTGTTTCTGCTCAAATCTTTCCACCAAACTGAGCAGAGGGAAATCTGAAGGCAGATCAACCACATCACAGCAGATTGTAGCGCGCACTGGGATATCCAGTTCCCTGTTTGCGTGTGTTGCACAGGAGAGAGCTGATCCAACTTTGATACATAAATGCATGAAGAGTAACACAGCTCAAAATCCTATTTATGTCTGTTTCTGAACAAGAACAGGCTTGAAGTCTGTCTCCCCTTCTCTGATTTCCTCCTGGCTAATTTAGACTTTGTGGATCCTACTCTTAAATGCTTAAACCTTCCTATCTGCAACTTCATGCCCAGCTCAGAATTCCAGAGCTGCCCACAAACCAGCAAGATACCATCTTACAATTCTGTGCCTGAAAACTGAATTTATCCCACAGGTGGTTTTGAACACATTAAATAATGTATTGTTTTAGAACAAGATTCTGTCTAAGCAGCCCTTTTACTTAAACCATGTGGACCAAAAAGATAATCTCTCATCAGTTGCATTTATGCATATTTGGTAAATATTTAATATTTCACAGCTCAGCTGTCCCTAGAAAAAATAGCCTGAAATACCACTGGTGGAACAGAAATTATTCTTAAAATACTGAGAGAAGACAACTGGCCCTACGTTCTTAGTGATCACTGAATATCTACTGCTGCTCCAATGGGGCTTCAGGCTCCTCATTGACTTTGTAGTACTTACTCACCCACAAAACCTTTTACTTTTTTTATCCTTTTCTTTGCAGAGTTTAAAACAAATCTTTGCTCCATAATCAATGTTCGACTCTGCACTGTCGTAGTGGTCTGGGCTGGAAGAGATTTAAACTCTGTCATAGTACCTGGTGTTGCTCTGTTTCGGATCTGTGCTGAAAGCAGTGCTGGTAACAGAGGAAAGCTCTCATTCCTGCTGAGCAGTACCTGCACTACATCAAAGGCTTTTCTGCATCTCCTACTGCCCAACCGGTGAGGAGGCTGGGGGTGCACAGGAAGCTGGATGGGGACAAAGCCAGGACAGCTGATCCCAACTGACCACAGGGATACCCCAGGCCATCTGCTGTCATGCCCAGCACATAAAACTGGAGAAAGAAGCAGGAAGGGGAGGGACATTTGATGTATACAGCACGTGTCTTCCCAAGTCACAGTTAGTGGATGTGGAGCCTTGCTTTCCTGGAGATGGCAAAACATCTGCCTGTCCCTGGGAAGTGAGAAATGAATTCCTTTGTTTTGCTCCGCTCACAAGTGAAGCTTTTGCCTTACCTATTAAACTGTCATTATCTGAAACCCACGAGTTTTCACACTATCACCCAAATCGATTGAGTGGCTGTGCAGTGATCAAATACCAGCTGTGCTTAAACCGCAACCCTGCAGAGAAGTTTCCTGTTATGAAACATTTACTGATCCTAAAACGTTACATAGTAGCTCAATGATTTGAGAGCCATGGCAGGAAGTCTGCCCAAGCTCACAAATCTAAATTTGAATCGTATGGTAATGCTTTTGTTGTGTCCAGCAAAGCAAACAATCCTAGAAATCTAAACATTGAGTGTCTTGTTTAATGTAGCTATCAGAGAAGTGCAATCATAGGAGGTTTCTCGGTAGCCTAGTGATTAACTGATTCCATTTGAACAACCCTGAAGAAATACAATCCATTCCTAGGATTTAACATACGAAAATAAGTTAGCAAATTTAGGAAAAAGTTTGCAAGAAACAGAGGACTGAAGTTTGGAACATCCAGCAGACCTTGAGAACATCTTCTAAAAGTCATTATAATGACACCATCATTTTAAAGTCTTCTGAGACACACACACTCTCACCCACTTCATCCTGGAACCTTTAACTGCTACGTCCCCACATAAAATACTATTAATTTTTAACTTTTCCTTTAATTATCACACAGTACCCTTATTCTCCCTTTGCTTCCATTTTCACATTCTTCTTACCATATCCTAGTGCTGTAAAGCTCTTCTATTATCACACAGTCTTCAGCTTTTTCTTAACTCCAGGACTCTTACTGGCATTAACCTTCAAATTAAAGTTGCTGAAGCTGAAATGTATCTCAAAATGCAGGAGCTGCAGACAAATAGGCTTTTGAACAAACAGAGACATTTTGTGAAGGAAACTAGAGGATGATAATGACCAGCAGGAAGAAAGCTCAGCTAATGAAAATGTGCAATTAATAACATTATTTATTTTTGACAACTTTCCTCCAAGGAAGCAAGACGAGATCATGAACCACATTTGCAACATGAGAAAATTAACAAAAATGGTACCAACAACTTTCAGTAACGATGGATAAAGCACTAAGTTTTGGAGAATTGGTGTGAGTTTGAGGTGCACTCTGGATTTGCAGGAAGGAAAAAATGGTTATCTTTTCCCATATTCAGAAAGTCAGAAGGACTGAATACTCAGCAGGCATTTCTTTGCAACTCCTATAAAAAATCCATAATGCCTGTTCTCTTGGGATTTACTTTCACACTCCTCTTCTCTGTAATGGGAATTTAATACTCATTCAATAAAACCAAATGGTCAAAACATAATTGCACCTGTAAAGTCTTCAAAATTGTGAGACGAGTCAGGTGCCCTTGTCAAAACCTCAAAAGTTTTCAGAAGAGTCTGCTGGGTACTTGCATGAGTTGGATTTTCAGACACAAATAAGTGGTGAAGTTTCAAAACCTAATCTGTAGAGCCTTCTTCAGTTGTAAAAGCTTTCAAAAACTAGCAAGCATGCCCCATGCTTTTCTATAATAAAACAAGGCTAAAGAACATTAAGAAAGGAGTTGAATCCTCTAGTTCCACATCACCTGAACTATTATAAATATGCTCTCCTAAGTACTGGGCTACATCCAAGATCCTGGTGCCAGTCTCTCCCCAAATACATTAGCAGTAATGAAGCCCATTAGCACCCAGCCTTGGGTCCCACGTGTGACACGAAGGAAGGCAGCCAAAGGCGTGCAGGCTGAAAACCATTCTACTTTTTAGAGCAACAATAAGGAATGACTGTTTTCTCATTTTTGTAAGGCCAAGTGTCCTCTCCTCTCTGATCAACACAAATGGTGAACCACACACACAGTACAATACAACCAATAAAGAAAAAAGAATGATCAGGAATCCAGCAGAGGAGCAACTAAGAAACCCTCATACTGTGCTCTTTGCTCTTTTGGCTCCATAAGGGTCCAATAAAATGTCCACTTTCTAAATATGTGAGACAGTTCAACTCAGGCATTAAGTTCTAAGTCTCACAATGCTCTGGAAAAAAAAAAACCAAACTCATCATACCTGTCAGTTACTTCCTGGTGTATAATCTCGGTCAAAACCGAAGTTTTTAGGTGGGATTTTTTCAAACTCCAAGAAACATAACCACAAAAGCACAGGGATTAGCTATTTTTGGAAACTTATTTTTACCAATGCATTATCTAAAAAATTCACTGCATAATATTAGTTGTATTTTCTCCGACTCTCAAGCTCAACATCTACTGAAGGAACACAAAGTCAGAACTGTAACTGCTGCTCAATAGAGTAGGTGAGAGAATGCAAAACTAAGTATCTTTGTTCCTTGCCATGCCTCTGCAGAAATACAATGTCAGTTCATGACATTCCTCACTATCCTGTATATTGCACGTTTTTCCTCTGGTGCACCAGAACTTCTTTCTTCAACTGTGGCTGTTCAAGGTGGTTCATAACTAACTACAGGAAAGATGACAGATTTAAACCAATAAATTTTACCAGTTGTTTTTCCTCAATTTTATACAACTGGAGAAGCAGATAAACCTATTTCCTAATTTCTGTTGGCATACCTTCAGATGCATGATTATTTCATTGCAAAGGTACAAATACAATTCTACTAAACCTCTGTAACACCACAAGTCAACAATGCTGTGAGGAAATCTGAGATTTCTGCTCTGAATTCAGACACCTGCCTCTGTTAGATAATATGCACAATGTATGCTTATTTCAGGGATCATGTCCTTACTCCTTAAAACAAGTTTATTTCTTTGCCCTTTACATTATTTGTTAGGAAGTCCACACTGAACCTAACTCCTTTCTTTTATATATTCCTGATTTGACATGTCCCACCCATTATGACTTATTTTTGGGAAGGTCTCCTGCAATTGTTTGTCTCAAAAAAAAATCCCTTGTACAATGTAATACAATTATGTTCCTTTAGAGTTTCTAGTCTGTTTTATTACAGCCTTTCCAAAATTCAAATTCAAATTATTTTTATCTTTTCTTTTCCCCCTGTGTTTTCCACTCATTTCTTTCCTGTACAAGCAATGTACAGGGTAATTGTGATCTGAAAATAATCTCAATGTGAAAAACTTGCATTTGAGTAATTTCTTTGATATCAGAATGCAACTTAGTCATAAGAAGATATTAATGCTGGAGCTAAACTCTTCTGCTAGATTTCAGTGTGCATGCAAAAATATCACAAACACTAATTTGTGTTTGGATTTTCACAAAGATTAGCTAAATTCTGCTTACTGTAAATGTCCTTTCTCAAAATGTGATTAGGAATCTTTAACTGACACTGCTCAGAGTGACATCTCTTGTTTCCTCCATCAATGACATGGGGAGTCTTGTCCATCTGAATTCCTATATAATACTTCAGTTTAGTGAATACTTATACTCTCCCCGAGTTACTACTCACCAGATAGTGAGTACTGCATATGAACAGAAACCTCAGCTGGACATACTGATATGAATGTTGTGCTATAAAACTTCTCTGTATCAAGTCCAATAATTATGGACCTTAATTTACTTGGATGAAGGAAAAGTGAACTACAATGAAATCCCAGTGGAGGATAGAAGGGGAAGAGTTTTAACCATCAATCAATCTGCTTACCTCTTAAGTACTTTTGGTCAAAACACACCCTACTTTGGGCAATTGAGTTGTAGCTGATGCCCTGGAGGAATTAATTACCAACTGCCTATTTTCACAAACTCAAGGGAGGAAGAAAAGAGATACAGTAAAAAAAAAAAAAAACAAACCACAAACTGACAAAATACTTCACAAAAAGCTTCATCACAACTGGAGGAAGATTAAAACTTTTGACTTAAATCAAGATTTATGGGAAATGTGCAGCACTTTCTCAGGACAATTGTCACAGTTGAATATCTGGAGATATATGTAGGAGAATAAAACACTCATATTTCAGAAAGGAAGCAAAACTTCATCCCAACAGGAAAAGCCATGACTTGATCTGCAGTGAGTATTTAATATACAAACTTCACTGAAACACAATTTGTGTCCCAACCTGAACTTGTTTTCCCTGGACTGAATCCAAGCTTTGGAACAAGTTCATGCTTTGGCATTCAGATAGAAAGTGGAACACATAATACAGTAACTAATTCCAGCATCCGCTCCAGCAACCTGTTTTGAAAGAAATTATCAGCAACACTTGCTGAACTTGTACTGAAAATGAACTTTACTTTGGAAACAAAACAAGCCCTTGCACCATGTGAAGCTCAGTCAGCCCCCCCCCAATATTTCAGTGCAAATCAAATGACAAAAAAAGTGTGGTATCTGAAAAAGAATGATGACCAACTCTTTCCATATTTAAATAACTTTACATGAGTAAAATACTTGCCTCACAATAACCTAGATTCTTCAAAGTTAGCAGATGAAAGTGATTTATTACACTGACTTTTTTTCAAACTGCCCTAGTATTGTAGCATAGCTAAATCAAGAAACAATTGAAAACACTAATTCAAGCTCTCCAGCGTAAAAAGAAACAAGTTAGTAACGTCTTGTTGGAAACTTCAATAAAACCAAACTACAAATGCAACCAACCACTCATACATTACTCAAAAGAAAAATCAATCACTCCTTTTATTATCACTAAGAAAAAAAAATCACCGCAACAAATTCACCTCATACAAATATGAATTTTATTTACAATTTTCCAAATCATCAATCAAATCCAACTTCTCAGTTAAATGTGTAGCATTTGTCCTTTAAAACAAATTAAACATCGTATTCTTTTTACATCTGCAATATGGAGTCCATAGGTACATGCTATTTGGGGCATCTAATGGAACAAATTTAGGTCATTATATGTGTTAAACACCGAAGGTATTCTGTGAAGACTCTTCCTTTAAAATTTATTTGCCTCAGGGACAAGCATTTCTACAACCACTTTTTAATGACAATTTATTAGGAAGGTTTAAAAACCCAGTATTTTATACCAGGACATACTGTTCACATATACTTCAGGGTGTGTTACCATGTTCCTATTGCAAAGCTGCCTGCTCTATAAGCAATGCTACTGAAATCAGACTAAAGATTACCCACAGATTTAGATATTATTCAATGTGAATAAAAATGGCCATTGATGACTTTTACTTGAGTATGTGTAATTATGGGCCAACTTGTACCTGATCTGGTACCAGTGTGATGTGATCTGTTCTGAAACTTGAAACCGCATGGGTTATAATAAAATCTTTTACAACTGTATTGCACATAAGGTTCCTCAAAAGCACAAATCTACATTTTTGCATCCTGAACTCAGAATTTACCTGCTAACTCTCATGAAAAAAATCAACCAGATGGTAAAATTATTTATTTTTCTCATCCCAGTGTCAGTGAATGAAGAGAAGAGGGAGAAGATATATACACTTTGGAATCCATTCAATTGTTTGTTTCTTCTGCATGTGATTTGTACTTCAGAGATGAGTATTTAAAAAAAATAAAAAGCCAGACAGACCTTGGATTTATTTTTAAAAGTACCTCAAAAACATAACAAAAAGTCAATTTAATTTTGATACATATTAAAATTTTAGTCAGTTCTGCCCGACAGCATAACACGACAGAAATGCACAAGACTTTAAACATGCTTTAAAATGACATTCAACAAAGTATTTAAAATTTAATAAATAGCATACAATCACACACAAATACATTTCATACTGGATCTTTAAGCCTACTAAAAACAGACTGGCAAAGAATAAATAAAACAGTAGTTGACAGTTTTGTTTTTAAAAGGTGTAATTTCTTGTTGTCACACTAGTAGCCACAAATTAACCTGCTTATCACAAAATTGGAAGTTATGAGCTTTTTTTCTCACTGATCTGTTTTGCTCCAACATGTAATATCATAAAAAAAATACACTAAAAGGGTTTTCTTTTGGTTTCTTTTAAACAACCAGTCTGTGACTGAGTAAACCAGTTTTTAAATACAATGAATAAATAGGGAATTAGTAAAGCAAATTCAATTGCAACAAAAACGCAACACCCCAAGAAAAGAGCCATGGAAATATATAGCCATTGCAATATTAGACAATAATAGTACTTAAAGTGATAGTGCTTGTGCACTAAGCTCATTAGAGACCTTAATATGATTTTAGTGCAAATCCCTTGAGTCCAAAACAAGCTTTAAACCCTACAGTATTAGGGAAAGATCTATTACCAGTTGGAACTTATTCTGTAGTGTATTTGTACATATCGGATGTTTAAAGAACTAACACATATTGTAATATCTTCGGCCCTTTTTTACTTCAAATCAAAAAGATTAATGACTGGGGATTTTACATACTATTTGGCTTGTACCATAGTAGATTGCAGTTTAGGAAAGTCAGTGCTAAAAAAGCTTTATCAGTTTATCTATTATGCCTAAATTTCATGTATCATTGCATTTTGTACTTCTGAAAGAAAAACAATGCTCCTGGAGAACGTTCCTCCTCCCTTTAAGGAAGTTCACATTATGATGAAATTTCAAGAATATTTAGACAAAGTGTTGAATAAACTCAAAGAAAAGTACATATTTTACATTAACAATCCTTACCAGTATTTAGTATATTAAGTTACAAGTATGTTGGCAATAATACAACAGAGTCAATTCCTAAAGGAAAATAATTCTGTACAAATTCACCTGTTAATATGGGGTTAAACAGGCAGCCAATAAGTCTTGAGCAGCCATGTTTCAGGTTTGAACTAGAGTACCAGGATAAACTAAATTTGAAACTAATGGGGAAAACTTCAGTTTAAAGAGTAATCCGATTATACTGGATACACACATTGTGTATTCAGAGCCATTAAAATGTTCACTCTTATAGTTCCATAATGTCATCCAGTATAACAAGTTTAATCAACCACACAGGCTAAAATAGCATTAACATAATGTTGTCCTGGATTTTTTAAAACTAAAAACTAATTTTAACTGTGAAGTACAAAACAATGACAGATATTGCTCCAACTTGTACACAATCTTTCCTAAACAATCCGTACCTAGCAGAGTAATAATGCCTCATCGTCACTAGTTTCATTTTTCACTGTTGCCTCTAAGCAAGTGTCGGGTATCTGGGCAGTGTGTACGATGCCACAGCTCTCACAGGGGCCATCTCGACTGCACGACCTTACACTGTGATGTGTTGCACTGTAAGGCTGTCTAAGCCCTGGTCCTTGATCTGAGCTGAGATCAAGTAGAGGTCTTGAACAGTCATTCATGTCAAAGTCTGATGCTACATCAGAGACTGGAATTAACATTTCAACATCATCATCCTCTTCTCTTCCACTTACCCCATTATCAAGCTGTCTCAAAGGACTTTGGTTCTGATTCACTGAGCTTGATCTCCCTAAAGTGAAGCGTACCCAGCGTAAGCCTTGAGTCATACGGCTCAGTGCGCTCGAGAGCTGGTGGCGCGCGGGACTTGTGCTTGGGGGCTCTACACTCGTCACTTCTCTTCCACCATCCGTGCCACTGCAACCGCTGCTCTGAGCAGAGGAATTCCCACATGCTCCCACTGCTGCTTCTATTGCTGTTGCAGGAGGGACTTTTTGAGGCAAGGTGGCAGCAACACCACCAACTGCTCCTGCTGTGTCTCTTCTTTCATTCTCTGTGTCTGTATCATCAGATTCAACTGAAAACAAACCTCTGTGACTATTATTTCTTTCAGCTTCTCTACTAGTACTTTGGCTGGCAACATCATCTCCATCCGCTGAGACCAATGCCAACGATCCAGAATGACGTGACCTCGCAAAATTAAAAATTCGATTCCAAATATTACTTGATCTGCCAGCAATAGGAAGTCTGATTGAGGTAAATCCAAGCTGAGATCGTACTGCCAGCCTCAGGTTTTCAAGAACTGAAGCCTAAATGAGAAGAAAAGCAACAATCAAGCATTGACAGTCTGCTGGTACTGTTCTAGCAAAGAAAGAATGATGACTATTGTGCAAAACAGCATTTAACAAAGTTAAATGTAAATCATAACTATTAGAAAATGTTGCATGTTTCTTAATAAGGATCTGGTACATGTAGCAATAGGCTATTAAAAAAAAAAGTGTGCATGACAAAAGTCTAGATGCTCTAGAGGAAAATATAAACAGGCAAATTAAGTGGAAATACATATGTAAAGGCAATAAAAGAGCAATGACTTCTATACAAGATATATTTCTGCCCTAATCAAGGATCTCTAAATAAAGACAACGTGAAAAGCATTATAGGCACTACAGTCTGGATATGGACCACTGATTAAAGAAAAGTACAAGTACAGAGCTGGTAGAGCAGGCATACAAAATCTATTACCAACAGTCTTACCAAAAAGGTAGTCACCGTGGATTTTAGAGTGCAGCACATATAACCTTGTCTCAAAAAGTTTAGAATTTGTAAACAACGTCTTTCTGAAAAATATTTAATAAAGGTGGCTGCCTTCTTTATCCACTATCATAGGGCTGTCTCAAAGAGGCTAAATTAAGTAACTTCTCCAGCAGAGGCTTATAGTTTGATTTTCTTTTCCCCCTTTCTGGCATAATCGGTTAATTACAATTTCAAAATGCTTGAATGCTTCTGTTCAAATAAAATTATCTTATGTGTTCTAAACTGTAAACTTCCCAAATTCTGTATACATTTTCCAGTTATTTAGCTACAGAAGAATGCATGCCTGAATTTTCTGTTTAAAAATCTGTGTAACTTTCTAACTGTTATGTAACACAAACATAAGAAAACAAACTCCTTTGTCTTGGGGATCCTGAACTCAAACTTAAAAAAGCATTGCCTCAGCTAAGTAGCTCATTTCTCAAATAGGGTAGAAGATCTTCCAGATGCCCATCAATCTAAAAATATTCACAAATGTGTTTAATTAGAGGATAAAGCCCATATTCACAACTTTTCATGAAGATTATGGCAAAAAAGCAAAAAAGTAGAATATTCTTTGGAAGAGCCATTTCCCAATTGAACCCTTAACATATATGCATGTATTTCCCTTCATTTATAAAACCTGAAATTTAGTGTTCTCATGCTGTCACCTTCATCTCCCTTCCACCATCCTTCAGACAACACAGCAGAATATCCAAACAATACTTCAAGCACAACCTACCTCTTCCCTTCCCTTAGTTCACAGGATGACTGAATTCAAGCACACAGTATGTATGTATGGCAGCCTTACTTTTAAATACTACTGAAGAGACTGCTACTCATCTTTGAAAATCCAGCTCTGAAGGCATATTTTAGGCAGAAAGCACTATACTGAAATTAGAGCATTCAACATTCCTATAGCTTGAGACTTCTAGCAAATCTTGAATAACTATCTCCAGTCCTACAAAGACTTGCAATCTTAAAATGAGTATTTTGCTGAAAACAAGTTTTTACACACCTTGACTTAATACTGACTCCCTTATCCCAACACTTTACCATATTAAAAATCGAGTTTTGTAATTCATAGAATTCAATTTACATTGCCTTGAGTTTTTACTAATGTCTCCTCTAAAGAACAAAGGTTTTAAACAATGCAACTTCATTGGTTAAATATGAGTAAAGCTTTTATCATGGAAGTGTCAATGTTCTAGAATGACATTTTCATTACTTTTGATGGCCTGCTCACTACTATTTCTTATTTCTATGCTAGTTAATTGCACAGTATAGTTACTTCAGTTTTCAAGGCCACAAGTCTCACTTGATATACTGGTGTTCATAATGAGAATTCAGTAAAACTCTCACTGCTTGAAATTATTGTTACATGCATCGATATTTTATGGAGTGTAAAATCATGATTTTACATAGAAAAACTATGAAGCAACTACATTTTATTATGTTTAATTACAAAAGTTTGCCATATAATTTCAGTATATTCTGAAATGAACTTAAAATGTATCCAAAGAAACAGTGGTTAATTCAGTTTAAGTCAAACTGAAGAGTAAAGAAAATTTCAGTAATTACACAGATTTTTAAAAGCTCCAGTACCAGTCTCTGATTGCAGTCACTACATGTTTGCGTTTTTCAGAACTGTCCTCTCTATGAGGAAATTTCATTCTAGTAAAACCCAAGATCCTTACATCACCTTTATGGGATTTCAAGATGAAAAAGGGGTTTGAGCAAGCAAGGTTTTTCTAAAAATCGTAATTGTTCCTACACATATTCACATACACCAAACCTAAAGTGCCTCACACAGGGTAGGTAGGCATCTGTAAGAAGGACTTACACATCTGGGCATGACAACTGCATTGCCTCCAAAGACTTTCCTGAGCTAACCCTACCTAAAGAGACTTGTAAACATAGATCCATCATAAACTGGTGAAGATTATTTTTTTTGGAAAAGAGGACAGCAAGCCAAATTTGTAAAAGTACAGAATTGGTTTGAAACAGAAACATACTGATCTTTATTATAACCACAGTAACCCACTAAAAAAGAACAAGGGATTCTACAGTGTTCACTACAGACATTTATTAAATTCATTGATGAAGTTCAGTGCTAATTTAGCTATCCAAAAAATCTTTACAATGTTTTTTGAAAGCCTCATGCAAATTTCAATTTATTTTCCTCTTTCTCTCTACAAAATCTTTTGTGACAGATCCCAGCTGCTTGTGGACACGTGAGCATGAAAGAACATGTGATAGTCATGTAATTTTCTTACAATAACTTTGCTGTATTAACTGCAACAAAACATAATTAATGCCAACCCTAATAGACACAGCAGGATTCCCAGACTAAGACTTTTTCCTCTATTTCTCACAAGAGCTTTATAACCAAAACCATTTTTAACTACTTAAAGAGTTTTTTGACAAAAATAAATTTATCAACCAAGTAAGAAATGCCCCAGTCATCCACCTCTGAATCTGGATGACCAGAAACTATCAAGTGCCACTTACTAGCTTTTCTTTGTTACTCATTCATGATAATTTTATATATTACACCATGTCTTTCTCCATCATCTTATTATGCACAGCAGGCATGAACACACCTACTCACTGTGCATGTGAACTACCAACCCACATTAGAAGTTTAGTTCTTCTTTCCCAAATCAGAAAGTGCCATCTTGCAATCTTTACTTTCACACCAGTAATATGGAACATGCAATTAGATCTACCAATCTATTACTTTTCATTCAAAAGGGGGTTCTATAGTGTGCATTTCTGGTATTATCAACAAAAGGAAGCCTGCAAAAGAAAGTGTGGTGTTACTATATAATTAATTTTGTTCAAGGGCTAATAATTTGTATAACACTATTGACTTAAAAGGAGAAAAAGGAAATGCAGTAGAGGAAAAGGAAGCAAATGAAAATCAAAATATCTTTATTTTAATCTCCTTAAAATTTAAGGGGTCTGTCTGCTATTTTGAAATCTTACCTGATTTGGGGAACAAACAGGGAAATCTTCAACTGGTGGAATTAAACCCTGGGCAATTAATTGTCCATAGGATGGAGGAGCTTCTCTTCTTAACAGTTCAGCCTCAACCCTTGACAAATGAGTTTCAAATGATCTTTCAAAGAGAAAAGAAATTTCAGAATACATAAGACATTGAGATATATATATATATATATTTATATATACATATATGAGAAAGAATGAAAGTACATCAGACGATTATTATCTGAAATGAAAAACTTCAAAAGTTGAAGTTTTGCTAATTTAATTGAAATTTAATTGGCAAAGAATATAAAGTCATTCCTGTGAGTCTGTCCAGCTGAAATGAGAGCAAAGAAACCACCCAACAATAAATTTCTTAAAAACAAGCAAACAAACCAGCCCAAACCCATGGGCTAAATATAAAAAGCACCATGAATAACGCTTATATTATTGTAAAAGATTGAAGGATATGTAATCCTGGAATGAACTAACCTACAAGAGAAGAAACATGCTGTTATATACAGAACTGTGATATAAGTTACAAATTAATTAGCAGTTTTCCCACACTTCCTTTTTGGTAACACCATCTGAAAGCTTTAACCTTCTACAGTGAAGTGATCAGAATATTTCTATCCTCTTTTCTTCACTGGGAGAGTATTCAATCCCCGGAACAGGCGCCCCAGGAAACTGGGTCATGGCACCCAGCCTTCAAAACTCAAGGCACATCTGGACAATGCTCAGCCATAGGTCTTTAGCTTTAGATGTCCTGCAAGAAGCAGGGTGTTAGACTTGATATTACTTATGGGTCCCTTCCAACCTGATAAACTCTATGATTAACTAACCTCTTTTCACTATCAAAGAAAAAGGAGAATGTCTTTACAAATCACGTACAACAATAGCCGTATGGCAATAAAACTACTTCAAGTATAAACAACAGAAAACATCAAAACATTTAATAATGTTGAGTTCTACTTACCTTCGCTCAAACATCCTGAGTGAGTACAATTTGCAAGTACATCCCAGTGCAATGACAAGCAGCAATCCACAAATAAGACTCCCAATGACAGCTGCAGTTATCACTCTAGTGGGCACAATGACTGGGCAATTCTCTTCGTCACTGCCATCGCCACAGTCATCTTGAGAATCACAAACCCAGCTCTCAAACACACAGCGGTTGTTTTTACAGTGAAAATTGCCTGGCTGACAGAAGAAACAATTCTTTTCATCTGAACCATTAGGGCAATGGTTCTGGTAGTTGCAGCGATCTGAACGAGGGTAGCAAACACCATTTCGGGAGCAGGGAAACTCATCTCTTTGGCACATGGTGCAGTTGGTTTCATCCCTTCCATTTGGACAGTGCCAGTAGCCATCGCAGCGCTGCTGCTCTGTGTAGCACCCCCAATTTCCACCGCATGGGATTTCCCAGGGCAAACAGAAGCCATCAACTTGATAGGTTGCATTGAACCCTCTTGCAGCATTCACTTTGTCAGCACAAAAATGCACTCTTATCTGTCCTGAGGATGAAACAACTGTGAGGGGAGCATGAGAGTCAAATGCTGTCAGTACACGCAACAGCCTCCGTGGATTCTCCTCTAATCCATCATATATTTTCACATAGTCTCCATAACCTGTACCATCAAGTTTAAAATCGGTGAATCGCAAGATTACTTTGCGATGATCACCAGTGTCTATCAGCCAGGTGCAGTTGCTGCCAGGTGGATAGAAGTCAGGATAGTTGGGAGAACTGAAAGTACCATAAAAGTATTTTAACCACTGCCCACATGTTGGCACATCACAGTCTATTTCATCTCCCAGGTCAAGACAATCAATGTTACCATCACATTTTAAAGATTCTGGAAGGCAAGTGTAAAGCTTGGTAAAGCGGGAAAGACACTGGAACTGATTGCTTGCACAAGGCTGAAAGGAAGAAACTGTCGGAGGATTAACTTTGGCACAGATTTCTTCATCCGAGTTGTCTCCACATTCATCCATATTGTTACATTTCCAACTTTCTGGAATACACTTCCCATTAGCACAATGAAACTGGTCACAATCACAACTTGGCTCATCAGATTTCCCTGAAAGTAAAAAGAAAAATTTTTCTTAGAGTTTCGTGCTTTACGGTTTGTGTTGCACATTTATTGGCTAAACCAGGTATTTCAGAAGGGCAAAGCAAAATGTCTTTAAACCATGGCAACTTTCAGCAAATTTCAAGACAAAAACAGTTTTTTCAAGTCAAAATTCCATCAACACATCAGCATGAACCTTATCCTTAGCTGATTTCAGTCAAATAACTTTAACCCAAGGAAGAAAACAATGCTCATTTATAGCTATTGAGAAATCTGACTTCTAATATGCTAAAAATAAGTTAGATAAACACTCATCTATCACTCAAAACACAGAAACATTTTGTGCTGCAGTACTGGTTATCTCCTCAGATTCCTTCCCAGAAAAGCAGACTCTCTTCTGCTTTTGGAGGTTCCTACCTTGTACCAAAGGATCTAAGGCAAGACAGAAGCTGCCGGCTGAAGATTACATATTACCACCAACCAGAGAAAGAAACCTCTGTCCTGCCTCTCCTGCAGCAACTAGGATGGGAGTGCAGCAAATGCAAAAATGCATGCTTGCCTTTACTTATTAAAGTTCCAGCCATGCTGAACAGAGAAGCATACCTGGGATCCAAGTCATTTCAGCTCTGCAACAATTCAGCTGAGTCAAACACTGCTGTATCATTTTCAACCAGTTATTTCTACAAGCAATAGCAGACTGCAAAATTTGCTATAAAACAAATTGTCATGGTCTAAATATCTAAAACAAGTCTGCAATGCAGATGATCCTACAAGCAGTTATTTGGAAAATAAACTAGACAAATATACATGCATTCTAAGGAACACTATACCTAAGGTTTTAACAAGGAAACAGGAAAGACAGCAGGATGAACTCATTGAAATCCTAATGCTCCCAGGAGAATCGTGTTCTATATTTTTTATAAGAGAACAATTCAGATTGGAATGGAGGGCATCTTATAAAATCATCTGCTCAAAACAAGACCAACTGGTGTTTGATTAGGCTCTTCAGGACCCTCACCAACCAAGTATTTTTAAAGTTCCAGTGTGCTTTATTATAGAACATGATAAAAGTTTTCACAGCTAGCTTGAATTTTTCTTGCAGGAACTAATCTGCTGTGATAGGTCAAGTCATATCACGCTTCTTTTTTTTTTCTACTTTAACACCTCTTAGAAAGCATTAAATAGAAATACTCTAACTTAATAATTTTTCTTTAGAAAAGTGTAACACAATTTTTACATTTCACAAATGCTTTTAAAAAGTGAATGCAGAAAAAAATGAAATCATCAAGAGTGATAAATGTTATAAGCACTGCTGAAGAATGTTTAAGTCTGCAAATTTACTTTCAGAGACTGAAGAATGATAGGAGAGCAAAATGTATGTGCTGGCAGTGACTAATTTTCAGAACACGTTCATTTCACTAAAAAAATTCCAAAGAACAGATGCAGAATAAATGATACCATCTTCTTGTTCTGTTACAGATATATAAGTATTTATATATAAAGTACACTCACACACATACATATGGTTAACAATATTAGTACGGCAAAGTCAGAATCTTGGCCTTGAATCTAAAACCAGTAAAACTCAACTACTAGACTAGTCCTATCTAAATTAAATGACTGTGCTCCATAGGTGGAGGTAACAGAATAGTAGGTAGGAGGTATAGAATATGCATCATTTAACCTGTTCAAGTACTGATTATAATCTAGTTCTGCTCTTCTGCATTGCAGAACCTGGAAGAGGTTGAGAAGAAAGTTGTAACATGGAGTTATAAATACTGATGGGAATATTGCAGTAACAAAACAGGATACAATTTCAACCCAAGCTCTTCCTTCTACAAGCTTTTAAACATCCCAGAAAACAGCTGGGATACCTGATCCTGATTTAGCGTTTTTAATCATCAATCCTACAATTCTTACATGAAGGAAATTTACCTATGAATCAAAATTATAAGAGATACACTAAATAAGACTAACTTTGGGAGTGGTACCACAGAAGATTTCAGGATAGCACAAGATTATTAGCAGCACCCACATACAGTTGTAGCCAAAGGACTAACACAAGTCTTCCGTGCATTTACAGTGGCCATTGACCTCTGTGCTTTTGATAACTTTATTTTTCCACTCTACATCACCATTATTAAAATGTCCCATTTCAACTCCCATAATTAAAAAGGCTGATAAATGCTAAGTAGTGGGAGGAAGATAGAGGGAAGAAAGACAAGTAAAAGTAGCATGAAATTTACTTTCTAGTCCAGTACCCTTCCTACCTGTAATTCTTTTTTCTTTCCTATTATTGGTTTAAGTCAAATATAAATATTTACGTATTATTTTCTTTAAACAAGAATTCAAACAATTCCCATGACCTATCTTCCACATCAGATATTAAACATGGGGCTCCCTAATGGTCCCTTTCACACTTGGAATCTGTAGTTTCTGTCATTCCAGCACAGATAAGCCTAACTTACATCCAATGACTAATGTATTACCAAGTGACTTTTTTCTATGATGACTTGCCAACTCTGAGAGGAGTCTTAAAAACACTGAATTAAATAATTTATTGAGGTGTTAATCTGAACACTATTGGCATGATGCTGATGAGGAGAAATCAAACATAATGGCACAGTTGAATGCATAGCAAGATTTTGCATTTCAGGAGCCTATTTTAACACTCAAAGGCAGAAATGACCAGCTGATTATTAAAGCAACTGTCAACGCTTCTCCTATAAACAGGTTAGTTTAAAACATTAAAAGACCACTCTGATCACTGAAACACTACACTTTCACCTCAATTGTGAAATACTTCCTAAGTATTGTATCAAACATAGGGAGCAAAATCAAGCCAAAGTTTCAGTAAGGCTTGTTTGTTAAAACACAAACAAACCTCCCCAAAATAAAATTTATTTTTAAAAAGACATTTGTAAACATAAGATTAAAATCTTAAGTAATAACACAAAATAGAAGAAATCAATTAGCACAAAAAACTGCTTATTATTGAAAGTGTTACATCTTCCTCCAAGAGGGGTTACATAATGAAATTGTCTCAAGATGAGAGAAAAAGAGAGGAATGGGTTTTCAGAATAATTCTACAAAGCCCATGGCTTACCTCCCCTACCCATTCCACACTTTTATCCGAGGTATATTTCCTTCTCAAAACCCCTCAGGAAGGAAATGTTGCCTTTCCCTCTGCACCTGCTTCGAGGGAGGTGAAAAGGGCAGAAGCTGATGCCTGACAGGGTAACAGTCTTCACCTGGTCCATTGGCAGAAACAGCAGCACAGGATGCCTGACAAACCAGTGGCCTCTTCCCCGCTCCCTGATGTTTTTTGGTGAGACACTGAACAAAACCCAGCCAGACCACTGCCCTGAAAGCTGGGCCAGCATCAAATACAAGGCTGCATTACTTCCCCCAAGACCTGCTAAAGTGCAAGGAGCTGAACCACAAAAGGAGATTTTCTGTAGACTGGAGAACAGGTGACAGAGAGGAATAAGCCTACTTGGAAACTTGTTTGTGAGAGACTGACATAGTGGAGGAAGCTACTAGGTGAGAAGAGTGAAGAGTACAAAACAGGAGTAAATACAGCTTAGACTAAAGGAGATCAGGGGTAGATTTACTGAATCTTGTTGGAACAGTTTTGAAGGTGGGTAGCATTAGATATGTTTACAAGTATGAATTGTTTTATGGAGGAGTCAAAAGTTGGTGTGCACAGAGATCTGGAGCAGGCCAGTGAGTAGATATAGCCACACTCAGAGGGAGCAAGGTAACATGAAATCATTGTGAAAACCAAGAAAAATCTAATCCAGTATTTGAGATGATGTAGAACACCATAATCATGCTATTACATAAAACTGTAATACCTCTTAAAGCCAGGAAAAGTTTAGAACTAGTCTCGACCCATGACTGGCTTCCTCGTCTCTCTCTTGGCAACCTCTAATAGGACAAGAATGGCTCACAAACAGTCTCAAACTATTACTACTGGTAACTAGCTTTTTATCACATCCTGTAATTACAGAAGAAAAATTTTGCGTGTACAGAACTCTGCCTGCACTCGGCTGGATTAATCTATCATAATAATGTGGTGGGGTTTTTTAAGATTTATTTTTTTCAAAGATAGCATGCCTTCTGGAGATGGGAAAAATGATGCAAATTCTGTGAGAAATGCAAAAAAAAAAAAAAAATCCTGCCATTGCTTTCCTCTCATTGTAATTAAAATACTCAGAAATTTACCCAACTACTTCAACAAATTTATTTTAGTTTGATGAAAACATTTAAAATCTTACTATGTTAAAAGAACTTCCAGATCCCAACTACCACTGGATAACCTTTTCTTCTCAAATACCATTCAATCTTCTTACTGTTACTCCCACCTTGAATATTCAAATTGTGCACGGGATCAAGATACATTACCTAATCTGTATTTTCTCTGAAGTGACTACAGGAAAGACCCATAGTCAGTACTGTACCCTGTTAGAAGGAAACAATTCTGGAAACAGGAAACAAAAAGTGAAACCATAAAATTATACTAGGCATCATCTGAAACATACCAGCAAAGTAGGCTAATCTGAAGCCTTTTCTGGAGATGCTATCATCTGAATGAAACCTTATCCAAACATGATCCTGTGAAGAGATGTATGGTGAGGGAATGGAAGAGCCACATGCTCTGTAGCCTTCAATGTTCTTGTAGCTTCCAATTGTTAACCAATCTGAGCTGCATCGTCGAGATCCCTGAACATCAAAATCTTGAAAGCTGAAAAAGAGAAAAGGTCAAAATTGCTACTGAACTGAATACTACACAATCAAGCTGCTGAATTACTACACATGAAAATTAGCTTGAAATTATTTTTTTAAATAAATACTTCTGCTTCTGAAATAAAAAAGTAGCTTCTCTACCCTTGTAGAAAGAGGGTTTAACCTTGTGCTGATACTTTCTACTATGAGGACAGCAAGGATCCATTCTGTCAAACAAAATATTGCATTCACCACTTCTGTGGAATTGCAAGGAATGCAATTTTGCTACAAAAACACATATTGCCCTAATTTGTAATTCTGGAAAGGAAATCGTCCTTGTGCGTGTTGCGTTATGACTTTCATACACTACTAAGTGATTTTAACTCAAATTTAACCACTGTTTTAGCTAATGCTACACTTATGGCAATAATAGGATTTGACATAACAAATACATCTAAATTGTTCAAAATTATGTTTTCATATAAGACTTTCTCCCAGTTGCACTACTCGGCTACCCAAGCATTATGTCATGGACTGTACTCAGTCAAGACAATGGTAATGGTGTGTAAGGGGGAGACTGTGCAAAACAGGTCTGTACAGACAACAGAGCACTGTCAGAACTGAAATGTGATACGTGTGAGTGGAAGAAAACAACATGAAAGAAAAAAGGTTTTATTAAAAATGAACAGTATGAAAAGTTTAGAAAGCATTCTAGTAGCTGAACAGTTTTACCTACTTTACATTGTATTTATGCCAGTTAAATACTTAAAAAGATTGTTTAAATTAGGAAGCAGAATTTAAGCAAGTAACTGATGTCAAAGCAAATACTTCATAATGAAGAGCAGTTTCTTGGGTCAGCAAGTCTGAACTGGAAACTGAAGAAAACCTGCATGTAATGCAATTCCATAATCAAGTCTGAGAAGCAGTACTAACTAATGTTGATGCTAAAAGAAATCAGTAATCAGAAATGAACAGGTGAGAACTTGAATCCACAGGTTTTCTACATTACTACTACTTTAGAAAAAGTTACAAGATACAACTGAAAAGAAACCGTGAGGAGTTCCCTGCATCAAAACTCAGCCTTTCCTAAACTACAGTTGTATCTATTGACTTGCTATTTGTCCTTGACATTTTTAAGCAAACCAAGAGACCTCACAGCAATGAAGCATTACAGCATTTAATCTACACACTTTTAATGAAAAAATCCTATGTTTTGAACACATGGAAAAAATTCAAATAAATGAGCACACTGAGATTTTTTTCTAGTTACCAATTCTCTAGCTAAAAACAAATGCTACATGGCTGTATGCAAGCAAATTAGGTCAAAGGAAAGACAAAAATCAGGCAGCACTGAAGTCCTTCACTTTCAGGAAGGAAGAGAAAACTGGTATGTGCACAACTGGCAGTTAAAAATGTCTGGTACTTCTCGATCCACATGGATAATACAAGAGCACTGTTACCTTATAGTAATGATCTCCCCTGGGTTCGCATGGATGTACCAGCTACAGTTAATTCGGGCAGGATACTCAGAGGGCCACCCTGGACTTGTGATCGTCCCGCTTGGTGATCGAATTTGTTCTGGAATATCTCCACAAGCTAAAAAATACATATATATTGAAAGCAACTTGATTAATTCCATTTTTTAAAAAGCCAATAGTACAAAAAACCCCCAACCAATCAATCAGCGAATATCAGTGGGTTAGATGACATACCAATTAAAAACCCCACAACTTCTAAAGGAGTTTGTAATGAAATATGTCAGCCAAAAGATGTTTTCCAACACCGCCAGTGCAGCAGTTTTTATTTATGTCAATCACTATTACAGATTAAAAAAAGATTATTCGATGTGGAATTTGACAACTTTATTAGGTTAAAGATTTTTTATTTTTAAATTTTGTTTTTAGTCTTTGCAAAGATTCAGTTCAATTAACCAGGTATTAACACCTTATAATGACAAGTATATTAGAAGGTGGAAAACAAATTAAAGCTAGATAATCAAGTAGCTGAAATTTCCTGTCTTAGGTAGACCCAGTGTTTGACCATCATATAAATATCTTCCCCCTTCCAGTTCTTGGCATGGAAATGATCTCCATACACATGATTCCAAATGCTTGAAAGGAAAAGAGCACTTACTGCAGCAGAGACAATTGCATAACTACATTTCTGATAATGGACTAGAAAGCTGATATTTATAGGTCTAATTATATGCAACTGAAGTAACCCAGTCATTTGTACTCTTACTTTGTTATAGATCTAGCTTTCTGCATTGGCCTTAACTCAGCTGCTGTTCCTTCCACAGCTCAAGTGTTCCCAATTCTTCTGATTTGAAGTAATGTACTTACACTTTGTGCATTTTGTTCTGGTTTTCCCCCCTCCTAGCAGCCTTCTGTCCAACACCTGTCATACTGCATATACACAGCCTTCACATAAACAGAAAGGCTAGACTACACTCGCTGCAGACCTTCAAATTATGGGGAATTCTCAGTGGTGAGAAAATACATTAAGAATAACTGCCCGAGTACTTTTATTTTTCAATTTTATGACTGAATTCCAAAATCTGCCAAGCTGTCAAAATTACTGGTAGCCCAGTAAATTGCACACAGTAGTTTGAACACAAGAACTATTTCAAGTAAGCAAGCACTTCCATTATTGTCTGATCATCAAAAGTTTTTAAAATTCCTATTTGATTAAAACAGCCAATCAGAACTGAAATGAAAAAAGTTATAAACTTGAATTATTATTACTTTAAGGTATTTCTGTATGGCATAACAAATACACTTTAAAATATATTTTAGAAGGACTAAATGACAGAAATGCTGACATATGTCTGAATTTTCTATATTAACTTAAAAACCACAGCAAAAATAAAACTCAGGAAATTTTCTATTTTCCTGTATATATATATATAAGAAATTAATGTTTTAAATAGTTTTTCACATGTTCCTCTTTTGGAGCTTTATTCATGCTTCACATTCAAGTATTAACATACCTCAACTGTAGGACACAGGGGCTGCTCTAATATCTCAGAATGAAAGTCACAAAATACAGAAAGATATTTCATTTGACTATGCAATCATTCACTTTCTTTTTAATTTTTGAGCAAACCCTATAGGTGGTGCTCTAACACCATGATAATTTGGAATATTCCTGTGTAAGTGATCTTTTGATACTTAACATTTGTTCAGGCAATAAATATAAGGACTTGAAATAAAAGCTGGTTATTCAGTTGTTAAAGTAAAATAGTTTTAACAAAAACCAAAAAACATAAAGAACAAAAACATGAAAAAAATAGAAGAATGTATAAGACATCTTATACCAAGCGTGCAAATGCTGGCAACAATTCCACATACTTGGTTATTACTGAAATAGTCCCCAGCTTCAAAAAAGTTGCTGAGATATTTACACTACAACTGACAGACAAAATTTTGGCACTGAGAGGCTCTAAAGAAGCTATTAAGTTTACCTGACAAAGGAAACTGCACTAAAATACATAAAAAACAATCCATTCAACATGGGTTCATTCAGTTTTACAGAGTTCACCTCCAAAAACGTTAACATGCTAAACCCTACAAACATCAGTACAAAAAGTAACGTATTTGTACACAAGCATGAATGGAAGAAATTCCACATGAAAATCCTATATAACACAGGCAGTGCTTTCAGAGCACATGAAAGCTTCCAGTTTTACTCAAACTCAGGATTTTTTTATCCTTTGCAGAACCAACCTTATCCCTGCAATTTCTACATTCTTTTATTAAGATGTCTTTTTCTCTGTTTCCAGTAAAGCTCACACTACAGAGCTGAGAGCAAAAGATGATCACTTGCACCAGCATCCAATACGAGGAGAGAGAAGCAGACTGTGGAGGGCATAAGGAAGCAAGAATGACCACATAATAATACAGGGTAAACAAAACTATACAAGTGCTGTAGAAGAGAAAACACTGAAGAAAGTATTCATGTGACAAAGTGGGGGTTCAAAAAAAAGGGGAATGGATTTGAAAAGCGGATTATAGCTTTCTTAACTTCAAGTTGGCTAGACAAGCTAAATACACTTGCATACTTGGTATATATTCATGCACTAAACTTTTAACTCAGGAGACAACAGAAATCTGTTTGCTTAAGAAGTGTATAAAGGTCAAGATCAACGGTGCAGAAGCTGCACTTCAGAAGTGCTGTCTTTTTGAGAGAGAATAATTTCTCAAAGAGATTTTGAAAATCAAGGATAACCTTTGGACATAGAAGAGCTTTAAAGGGGAATAGCTTTATAGGGAATATACTTTATAAAGACAATAGCCTTTAACCTTTAAAATCAGTTCCTGATCCTCTGCCTAACTAGGGTTAGGATGTTTCTTGTACACCTTTATAGACTATAATGTAACAAACATTTTATTCGTGTATTTGTAAACATGCAGAACGTAAGCAACAATCACAGAAGGTTATGGGATAAAAAAAAAAATCCAACTGGCAGAATGTAAAACAGAAATGCATCAATAGAGGCAAATAGCCTTACTTTAAATTGAGGAAAATTTGGACTTCTAATCTCAATTGTTAGCAGCCCTGCAAGCATTTGTCATACAGGTCAGTTGTGTCTATGATAACTTAAAATTACAGGAAAACTGATTAGGTTTAGAATAATTTATTTAAAGTATTAAAAATACATAAGAGAACAGCAGAATGAAAATTAGATGAGTCAGGATAAAAGGAAATGAGTCTGCAATCAAGGTAGAAGCAGGAACGAAATTGAGAAGGTTGCATTGTAGAGAAGCAAAGACACCCAGTGATGCATGCCCAAGATGTCCTCAAATCTCATGCTGGTGGCCCTAATATTTGGAGAGGGGAACAAATTCCTCTTGCTCAACCATTTCTACATCAATGCTGTGTCTGCTTACATTCCCTTAAATGCTCTTGTATTCTATGGCACAATTCTGCTCATCCATCTCCTACCTGTTTCAAACTGTTTCCTTTGATAATCTTTATTGTATTAATCTATTTGCAATTCTGTTTGTTACTCTGATATAACTGTTCAGTAAACTGCAATAGTGCAATTAGGACGGAGGATGCTTCATATATTACAGTGTAAAATAATAGTCAAAAGAGCTTGCACATATTTTTCTGGTGTTTATTAGACTTTTTAAAAACAGACACAACAGTTTTTCTTATTTCCTTCTCCCTGAAATTTGTTTACCATCCCACATTACAGAACATTATGATAAACTACAGGATGTTGACTGGTAAACAGAAGAGAGCCAACTAAAAGTTTACTGTACCAAACTCAACTAGCAAGTTATAACAAGAAAATAATTAAGAAACCTATCTAAAAATTCTTTTGCAAGATCTAGAGAAGTAAAGTACCTGTAGTAAGAGTGAACAACATGTCAAGGAAAAAAGTCACTTCAGAAAAGCAGGGAGAGGGAGATTAGGGATTTATCTTCACAGTAATGCCAGGAGATTAGTTGAAAAGATAAAAGAATTAGCTTTCAATGTGAACCACAGGATGATAAGGTATGCATTATATTGGACATGGTAAGGACATGAATGCAGCTGGATAAATGATCTGAAGGTGTTTAAAACAGCTTAGAGTAAAAAGAGAATAATGTTGTGATAAAGTCTAAACCGTGAACAGGGAGGATAATTATTGCATTGTAACTCTCAGGAGCAACTGAAAGTCTTATGTGGAGAACTACAGGGGAAGAAGGCATTGGAATCTTTGCCTCTAGATCAAGCCCAAAGGCTTTAATTTAAAATGCCCTTTGCTCTGCAATACAGAGACATATTCAGTAAAAATAAATCATTATACATATATATACAACAGTGCTGCAGTTCTTTAAAATGCAGAGTGAGGGGTTGGGGAGATGGGGAATTGGTTTTGCAATTGTGACAATTATGGGTCAACATACCTCAAAGATAGACCTGAAAATATTTCTGAACTCTTCAGATTTTAAAGGCATAAACACTTGTTCTGTAGTGATAGCTTATATGCAAAGAGACAACATTCCATTAATTGCTGAGCATGTTCATATATTAGAGGAGTACCTGTAACCTGGCAATATAGTATACAGCAAAAGCATAAATACCAAAGGCCACAGAGGTCTGTGCTATTGAAACATAATTTTGTAAGGTAGGTCACATAGTCTTACAGCAGCAGCATGACAGGAAATCTACCATCAAGACAAAAATTTCATTTTAAATCCTGTCTCTGTACAGCTGTCCAAGAAAATCGCTTGCTTGGTTTCAACACCAAGTGAAAGTTGGATTTAGAAAGATTAAAGGCCAGACGTCTTTGGTTCTATTTTACTGAAACTCTGCTTAAAATTGTTCTGCTAAATATAAGGCTGTCCAGGTATACTTGATGAAACATATAACCTGCAAGTTAGAAAATATGTTTGGGAGATCCAATTTATTTAAAAGGAACTAAAAAATAATTTCATTCACTACCATGTTTTATACTTGGGCTATGTACTTAAAATTGAAGATGTACATACGAAGAGCAGTAAGAAAAATGCTACTGGGTCAGTCTATATGCTTTCTTTAGGTTGTCCTTAACAGATCACCTCTTCCCCTTAAAATTCTTTACCTTAAAATTCCCCAGTGAAGAACTTGCACTTTGTATTAAAAAAGAAACTTAGGAGTACAGTATTCATTTTGTCTGATCTGGAAAGCTGTTTAAAAATATAAGAACGTCAAGAGATAACTTTTTACTTTTTTGTTGTTGTTGTTATTATTTATTTCTAAATAGATCTTTCTTCTCAGTGGTTAAAGTTCTATCTACCAGCTGCTGTTATCTTGTGTACAAAGTACGTCGTGTTCTGCTCTTCTTGGCACTGCCTATGCAAGCCTGCTGGCCAAAGTACTGGAAGCAGAGTCAAAAATTCCATTCACCTCTTGCCCGGCAGATGCTTTTCTGCCTGTATTGTGACCTGTGACACAACCCTTGCAGTAAACAAAGACATGAGGGGTTGTTATAACATACCCTGAAAGCTGCATAGCAGGATTTTAGGTTGACTCAGTGTCTCTCATCCATTTAAATTCCAGCAATAATTGTTCCAAGAGGGGCAAGTAGCTTTGTTGATATTTATTATTTACAATGTGCCATAAATGCAGTGTACATGATTCTTGGTGCACCAGTACAGTTAAAAAGCAACAGCATTCTAGACTTTCAACAGTCTTTGAGTGGCAAACAATAAAAGGGAAATAGAAAGCAGTAGGTGTCACAGAGACCATCCACTGACCACAAATTTATTCAAAAACTCAAACATACAAGTAGCAACGTAATGTTTAAAGCAAAACTGCAAGATAACTACAGTGAGACATACAAGCTGTTCTCAAAAAGGACAACTTTGCATTTTGACTCTTATTTTAGGAGAAGGGGGTGTGAAAATCAGTTTGAATTCTAGGGATTAGAGGCAGCTTTCCTAGGGAAAGGATCAGGCTTGTATCCTGCTACCTGCTGAGGAGCCTTTATCTCCCCGTTTGCACATATTCTGGGTATCTGTAAGATAAACCACGCCCAGCAGCTGCTGACACTGCACAGCATCTGAAGAACGAAGACTGCACACCAATGCCTCAATGGCCACACAGCCCCATCACAAACACAAGAGACTCGACTGTGCTTCTGCCCAGAAGAGGTCTAAAACTGACTTACTGGAAGAGAACACAAATCTTTGAGCAGTGTGTGCTGCTTTTATACCCCATATTCTCACAGCATCTCACGAGTTTCTCAGTTTCATGAGTTCTAAATTTTTTTTCTTGTATTAAGGAAACTGTGCAGTCAAGTGTACAGTCGTTTTAGTTAAATCTAATCAGGTGAAACGCATAACTCCTGGATTTATGTTATTTGATAGCAGCGGTGTCCAAAATTACCTTTCAGTAAATTTCATTTCACAAAAACTTTACTGTGGAAAGAAAATATCAATTCAACTTAAACCAACTTTTCTCTTAGTTCAATGTTTGTATGGAAAAATAATTAAGCAGTCCACTTAGAAAGGCATAATCTGTTCATGAGCATGCAGGTATCAGTTTTATCTTATGAGAATTTTTCCATGTTCCAGTTGCTTCATTCCTTATTACATGCTGCAAAAGGCAGTAATAATTTTTATAGCCAAATATCTCTTCATAAGATACCAGGTGGCTTTCAATATTTACTATTTAAGTCATGCATGAAATTTAAACATTACAAAAAATGACTTACCCGTTGACACTCCTGAAATATGCACATTTTCAGAATGTTCTGCAAGAGCACCATTTCCTAAAATTAAACATAATGAATAAGCTAATTTCCAAGATAAAATTTGTAAAAATTCTTCAGATACCTTTTTACAGAACAGAACGAACAAACCTGAAGTTATTTTAATTAATATTAAACATGAAAGGTCCAACATAAGTTTTATCATAAATTAAAGAGAAAAACTAGAGAGAAAGTTACAATAAAAATACTCCCACCCGAGCATTGTTAGTTTACTAGGAACAATTTGATACATTAGAAAGTTAAGGAACAAGCAGAGACTGATACTGTCAGTTCTGAGAAACTTTACACATGTTAGATAGTAGACATTAAGTGCTTTTTTATTTTCAAGAAAGGTCTGTTTCAATACATCTTCCCCATCTCTTTTTGGAGCAAGATTTGTAAGTAAATGCTATGCAAATAAAGACATCGAGGGGACTATACCCCCTATTTCATAGAAACTGCAGACTATATACCTTTTATCCAGAAAGGTGGCTCAGATACAGCAGGGAACAAGCTACATTTGAGAGTAACATCCCACCAAATGTTCATCAAAACGAACTTGCAAAGATGAACAAGGCCCATTTGGCCTTGGTAAGAGACCAAAAAAGTTATCCCTCCAAACCCCATGTTTGTACTCTCCAAAGTAAAAGAAGTCTGCTAAAGCAAACATACTTGCTGGCAGGTGGCAGTCCTGGTACATGATGTGACACATCAAATTGTATTTGTGTGCATTTCTCCCCTCCTTTATCCATCATCTTTTCTTTTAACCTTTACAACAAATTTTTAGTAAAATCTTTCAGAAGTTTCAGGAGCAAAGAGCTACTTTGATACATAAGCTCCTTTCAACACAGGCAGTGAATCTAAAATGTAAAATACTTCACTAAGCAAATCTTAAACCCACAACTCTTAGTCCTTTAAAGTTTTTTTAACACTGAAGATTTGCCATGTCACACAGATCTCCAAGCATGTGATAAAAGTTGTTCTACCAGCACTGCAACGTCAGCGTACTATGTCCAGGTAACAAGAACCTTAAATATATGAACAAAACACAAATTCCTTTTATACCAATTTAAAGACTGTTACAAGTTGACCAAGAACACAGTATACCTAAGGCAGCACCTCAGCACTCCTCTGGTACAATGATTACACATAGGATGTTTCAGAAATTGCTCCCAGGGCTGACACCAAATACAGAAAGGCATAATTTTTAGCTTCTTAAAGACACAATACAGTTAGAAACCCGACGAGCACAATTTGTAGAAAAACAACAAGTTTAATTTATTTATTTTTTAAAACGAAATTCCTTGGCTCTTCAAAGTGACATGTTTCCCACCCCTTATTCAAAGTACTAATTTCACTGCATATATTTACATACCAAGTTGCTTTGTCTCAGTTGTTAAAAAAATTCCACACTGCAACAATTCTCCTCAATGTTCACAACACTGAAGTATTTTAAAAACAAAAGCTATTTCAAGTACTGTGTTAGTGAGCAACTCTTTTTCAATTAAACTATTTTCAAAGTAAAATATACATCTAAGTTTTAAAAAACCGTTCTCCAAATAATTTCTCCACTTTGTATACCACTGACATGCCAAGAGATGTTGCCACTCTAATTCTGTGTGTACGGTAACACTTAGCTCTCAATTTACAAAATAAACATCTTTGCTGGAAAATGATTTTACTTCCAACTAATTCCACAAAAAAAAGCACATTTCTGATTGTTTTGTTTTCCATTATTTCCACCAGCATAAAGAAAACATTAACACACTTCAAAACCTCTTGTTGAACCTAAAAACAACCTACTGACATTTCATCTTTCAAATACACCTTAGATTATTCACCTTTTTATTTGTAAAAAGGGGCATTAGCATATACAGCTGTATCTGTAGTTGTTGTTGAGCACTGAAAACGATCATCATGAGGATGTGTAAAAAAGAAGAAACTCACAAACATCTAGAAATATGAAAAACCCAGAAGTAATTACATTGATGACAGTCAGTATCTGAGCACTCCCATTGATGATCCCAGAATATAAATTCCTGACAAGCTGCCTGTACATAAAGACCAGTAAAACAAAAAACCCAGAATACTAAGGAAATCAGCTCTAATAAAAATACAAAACATGAAAAGACTGACATAACACTGGAGTGATGGAAAACAAAGCAGTGTATATATATATCAAAGACTGACAAAAACTATAAATCAGTAATAATGAGAAGCATACTAAAATGGGAATTTGCATCCAAATCCTGTATGTGTTAACTGAGAATTAATGGGTTAAGAAAACTTGAGCCAATACCTAAAGAGAGAACACTTGAGTATTTTCCATCTAAATATCCTTTACGATCTAACAATTAATCTCTCAAAATAAAGTGGTCAGATTTACTGTCAAACTAACTTCAGTGATTAGTCAGAAGTGGCACTAATGTGTGATGATAAAGTCTAAATTCAGATCCAAGTACTGTAGTATCAAAATAAGGTATTTTTTTAAAATAAACTCCCAATAAACTTTCATTACATTAAAGATGACAAATATCTCAAATTATTACTTCCTTTTTTATTGAAAACTGTCATTGAAACAGTGTGTTCAGATGCCATTTAAATGTTATTAACTGCTAAAACCTTTATGAAAATTTTAGGCAATGATCGTTCTACGATCTCAACAAATAATCACAATATAAAGTTAGCCTACCAGAAGACCAAAATATCACATAACAGCTCAGTAATTTCCATTAAGATATGGGAACATAATTATCTTTGAAATTCCAGCTAGTCTACTTAACACATCAGAACATGAAAATGTTAAATAAAATTTCTTAGGTCACCACTAAGTTTTTTGTATTTCTTTATGTCCTAAAGAAATATTTACTATTTCTGTCCATTTCCACCTGAAGTTTTAAACTGAAACAGGTGTCACTTAATAAAACTTAGCACTAAGTTTGTTACAGGAGTGTGACAGCACAGCACTGAAAGCTACACACCAAGAAGCTCCTGCCTTCTGTGCTGCCTGTGAGAAAACAGGATTTTTTAAAAAACCAACATCTTCCATCATTATTTTCTTCTGATGACTTCTTAGAAGAAATCGCTTGTGTAACCAGGACTATACCCATGTTCTTCATGTCCTTTTATAAACACTTAGCACAAATACAGAACAGAAATGTATGTCAGCTTTAGCCCTGCAGCATAAGATATGCTCAGCAACTGCATGTAAGCTAGAATTTCAAATGGACAAGGATCAAGATAAAAATCAAGCATTTAATATGCTTTTTCTAAACAAAACAAAATAAAGTAATAAACAGAATATGAGATTTTAAACTACTGGCAAGCTATAGGTTAAGAAAAGTATGGAAAGTGCTTCTTAATGGCTTTGTACTGAGGTGCACGTGACTTTGCTGCCACCATTCATTGTAATATCTCTAAGATTGCTTGACTGCAATATAACAAAACTCACCCAACTGGTTACTAAATGAGTTGGACTCTTGATAGAATGTTTCACAGCATGGAACAACCTCCAACTTTTGAGGTGCCTTTCTGTCTGCAACAAGTTTAAGAATGTCCCAAATGTTCAGAAGAAGAATGGGTGAACAACTTTGAAGATAACCATTCTTACAGATGTATCCACAGAATTTTATTTTACTTTCACAGCACAAAGCCAGACCTTTTGACCTCCACCACTTTCTTCTGTCCCATTCAAATCCTCTGGGCTGCAATGCCATCTCATCTAAGGAGCAGACAGAGAGAGTCAGGTAGCTCCACAGACACTTTTGAATCCTTTTGATTCATGCCTCACAGCTATCTGACCACAGAAACAAGCAGGTCTGCCTTCAGATTTTCCAGCAGTTGGAGAATTTCTCCCCTACAAATCCATATGAAACTATGGTAAACATCCCATACCCCACCCAGAAAATCCTGACACTCTCACAACATCAGTTCCCAATATTCTGGTCCAAGACTCCTATACATAGTCTGGAAAGGTGAACAGAACTAGGCAAAAGGTAAAACGCACAGCCTTGGAAGGTATTTGACTCACTAACTACTTCTGAGTTTCATCATAGATAGGAGATTAAATACAGGCCAGGGGAGTGGGCTGGCAACAAAGAAAATGTGGCAGCAGCAAACACTTCAACTAAAGAGCAAAGGAAAAGAATGCTTTCACACTTGAAAAACATGACATGTTTGGAAAAATTACCTGCCAAGTTCTATATATTTGAAACCCAGATAGCAGCAGTGATGCTGAGCCTCACTGTGGAGTCTAACCACAATGCAGCAACCTTCATTTTAGGATGTTACACCCCTACATCCATCCTTCCCCATAGCCTGCACAGCACAGCTCTCAAAACAGGTTGATTATCAGACGCAAAGGATTATGTGCATATAACTTCAGAGCATATAACTAAGCCTATGGTCCTGATATGAGCTACTCCTTTGATTTTTATCCAAATTCATGCATTTACAAAAGCATAACCACAGACCCCCACTTACCTTCACCCTCCTATAATTAAGCGTCCCGTAGTCGAAATATTCAGATTAAACAAGATAACCTTCTGCTCTCCAGATATATAAATAAACATGTATATATACATATATATATATGAACTTGAAGACTTCAGATAAAGAACAAGTTTACCTAAATGCTGATATATTTAAGACAGCAAATAATGACTCTTAAATGAAGCCATTTTGATTTCAAATTGACTAAAATTAGTAATACTAATCTAATATCCTGAAATAATAAATACTGCAAAAGCACATATAAAGATCTGGTATATGCAATTTTGTCCACTGTGACCACAAAATCAAACTCTGTAACTGCAGTTTGAAAGAACATCATGTAACTTGTGACTAAGTTAAATCCAGATTGTGTTTTACAGAAAAATTGGTTGTTGAAATGAAAAAATTAAAAGGAAAAAAAAAATCACAGTAGCAAAAGCTATTTAAGTCACCTTTATTTCTGCTGTTACTCTAAGTAGTTACTGTCCACAAAGAAAAATCACATGCACCTATCTCCATTGAAGCTAAATTCTTCTGTATTAAGATAAAGCTTGTGCCATTATCCTCAACAGCCAAATTACAATTCCCTATAAATAAAACTGTGTAAGTTGAAGAAGTGCTGTAACTGACTGGCTATGAAGAGAGAGCTTTTCCTAAACTATCTTGAGCTAAAAGGTAGTGTGGTGAATAATGAATCCTACATAAGCAGACTGGACAGGATATTTTTCTTGAACCACAATTATCAAGGGCAAGAAAGCAAAAACAGTTCCTGTATTATAATGTGTTCCTAAACACCCTTTATTGTGATATGCCTTCCACTTACTTTACTTTAGACAATGTATTTCATGACCAAACATCCTTTCTTCATCCTACTCCCAAAATTCCTTCCCACCCTCTACCTTACAAAGCTGCCTCTTGCCCTGAAGTTACCTTGCATTATTCTTCACCGAGTCTTGCTTCTAACTGACCAAAATAAAAATACTGTATGCTTTCATGAATGAATTGGTGTTGCTTTCCGTATCACCTCACTAAAAACCCACTTAGCCATTGTACTTCGACTAATGAGTTCAAAAATAAAAATAACCTTCTTCATCTACAGATACGGGAGGTGGAAAAATCCATGACGCCCCTGCAATATTCCACCAGACTTCTTGGAAATGACTCTTTTTGATACCACATTTTGTGACAGTTCCAGCCAGAGGCCCACATCCTGCAAACACCTAAGAACAGCTGTGCAGAAACAAGTTTCCACTGAAGATGCCCTGTGTCCTGCTGAACCCCAGTCCGGCTCCTCAGCCAAGCCTGTAACAGAAAAGTGCGAAGGCCGCTTCTTGCCTACCACACCTATGGTTAATCCATGGTTATCATGTTACAGCTTACAGCTGGGCATGTGGGAGACCAACAGAAAAACAAGTGCTACTATTCTTCTTCAGATAAACTAGATGATCTATAAAGGTTCCTTCCAACACAAACCATTCTATGATAAAAGCATTAGTTCAGAATGCAACCCAAAATACTACATTGAATTATTTACTTGTGGGCCATCTACAATTAATGAGTCAAAAAAAAAAATCAGGTCAGGAGTCTTCTCAGACTTTTGACTCATCATTTACAATCTCATCTCTTGAACACTTTCCTTATATTTGTTAATCTAATGTGCATTTAGAATAAAATGCATTAGTTGCAGGAATTTAAAGCTGTAACCACAGCCAAGAGCTACATGACCATACTGCAAAGCTCTCCTGCACTGCAGAAGGATCAGTATTCAGTGTACTGAGAGTATCAACTGAAAGAAAAGCTTTCTGTAATCTCAGTTGGCCATGAGCACGCAAAAAGGACTAGACATGGTTTTTCCTCATTTATAACCCAGTCTCTAAAATTATGGTTTCTCTTGTAGTTTCTTTTCTATCTGTGCACCATGTGTTCTCCAACCACTGCTAAATCGAACTACAGAAATTCAAATTTTCTCTTCCTCAGAAGACAGGAAGAGCTGCATGTGCACTTCAAATTACATGAGTGAAGGAATTGAAAGTGAAGCAAACGGTGCAACAAAAGGAAAAAAAATGAGAGCAGTCTGAAACTTACCCTCCCAGAACAGCCCGTGAAATAGGGAGTTATTACTACAGGGAATGCTTCTAACTAAGGCACGGCAGAGCTCAGAACATACAGTCCACTGAAACCAGGCAACCATCTCTATAT